ATTTAATTATGTGGTAAAACAATCATCAGAAGACTAAAAAAAAAATTAGTTAGCTGCAACAAAATATTCAACTCAAAATCGGAAAGGGTTAAAAAAATATCTATCTGTCTGTCTGTCTGTCTGTCTATCTATCTATATAAATGTGAGGTCTGCTTGCGTATGGCAGCTGGAAGGGGCAAAGCTAAGTCATTATGTTAGCTGCAAGGGAATGCATGATATTTTTGCCAATTTGAAGCACTGTGATGAAACACAGATGCCACAGACGATGTGAAATGTGGATTTTTCTGTGTACCATTTATAATTTTGAAACTGCATTAAAGTGTTCGGCCATTATCAAATACTCTAACACTACCATTAATTTTTATTAATGTTAATGAAAACAGAGGACCAATCTGTAGCTAACACGGAGCCAGCAAAACGGGAAGACTTGGGGAAGTGCAGAAATCAGACACAATGCACAGTCCAGCACACAAATCAATGAGAATTTTTCAGCTGGTTCTTGTATCTGCATCAGGGTTTTCCCAAAGGGAATTCATTAATATATTTAAACTGCTCTGTTTAATAAAAACTAACACTGGCACTGCAGATGCAAAGGGACTACATTTCCCTAAATGTTCTCCCAGCTGACACTTTAATTAGTACCAGAGATGACGATTTTGACTGGAGAGGCAAATTGTCTGATTTGCCACTCAGTTTCTAACCGTCAATATTCTCATAGATAGCAAAACGGAGTGTGTACAAAAGGTAGATACCCAGATATTTTAAAACTACAGCTTCAATGATGCTTTGTCATTTTAAAGCATTCTGAAGGCATGCAAAGCATCATGGGACTTGTAGTTCAACATCTGTGGATCTACCTTTTAGGTGCCCCTGGTGTACACCTTTTGTGCCCTGGGCATATATGATGTCTGGATTTAACTGATGTTGCTTAGCCAATAATACAAGATATCTAGTTTGGAATTGACATGTTTAACTCTTTCAGCACTGAACATTTACCAGACCTGTCATTTTATCTATAGACTCCCTTGTAATGCAAAGAGGTTGCAGACTTAGTGCCAAGCTCTACATCAGGGATGCGCAAAATATAGATCCCAAGATGTTTTACAACTACGGCTTCTATGATGTTTTGTCATTCTAAAGGCACGCAAAGCATCACAGGAGTTGTAGTTCTACAACATCTGGGGATCTCCCGGAGGGGTGTGTTCACTGAACTGGTAACTGGGAGGAATTCACACATTTTAAGTAAAATAGGCAAACATGAACATTTTCCAGCTTGGTTGTTCAGGTCTGATAATTCCAATCCACTTTCCAGGTCTCCTCAAATCTCAGTTTAGTGAATAAACTATGCGGCTCAGGTTGGCACTTGGTAGTGTGCGTTGCATCCCTACAAGGGCACTACAGCATGTGTTTCCAAAGTGGGACACAGTTTGATAACATTGTTTCCCATTGTTTCCGCATTCCTTTACGGTATACAAGCCATTGCCAATGGCCTAAATCGTAATATCTTGCCAGCCCCTCGTGCATATGCTTCCTTGCCACTCAAGCCAGTAAGCCCCCGGAGAGCAGTTGCTTTACATCATAGCATTTCACATCCTGCTCCTAGGTCCTTGGCTCTTATCTGGGCCTTTGGCTCCCACCCAGATGCTGACACTAGTCCTGCAAAGACACTTCATTAGGAAGGCAGCTCCACATTCTGGGAATACAGAACCGATCAGCCGTAAAACCCATCATTTCTTTAAGTGTCGTTTTAGCACTGTATCCCAACAGACTAATGTATTGTCTTATTACCTCCTTATTTGTGTGATGAATCTCTCCCTCTGCTATCTATGTAAATGTGTGCTTTTATCAGTCCACGGTGGCTGTGCTGCTGTTTTAAATCAATCGTTACACTTTCACTAAATAATTCTCACCCATTTGATTCCCCAAAGCAGTTTTGCATAAACTCACTGTTTACAAGAATTCGTCACGTACAACATCTGAAAGCAGACAATTTGCTCTGAATTTAAATAAAAAGGGACATGTCCTGACAATATGTACGTATGTTTATGCCTTTACAATGACTCTGCCGATATAAAGCATCTTAAAAACAAAGACTTTTTTAAAAATGTGTTGCTGAAATGTTGTTGCATTTAAAACGATATTGCTAGGGTAAGATTGTGGATGGGAGAAGGTTTATATGTCTATAGTATTAGGGTGTTCTAGGGGCAGTGGGGCATATGGGATACCTGCCTTTTAAATGATGTGTACTTGATTTGCTTGATTCTAAGGCAGAAGCAGCGCGCTAAATGAAAATTCAGACGTTTAATTTTGGAATTGCAATTGAAATATTTATTAAACACAATTTAATGATTAATTCAGAACGTTTCATTGAATGTGCTAATCTGGTTAGTAGCAAATCTTCTTTACTAAAAAGATTAGTGGACAAATGGTCTGAATGCCATATTGTGGCTATTTATCAATCCATAATTATTTATCACATTGTTTTTAACTGGCAGTAGGGGGCACATTCTGACAATGTGAGCAAAGTTCCCTTTGCCTACTTTTATGAAGGCAAATAAACAGAATTTGAAAATGTTTGCAGATAGGGATAAATAAAAAAAACAAAAAAAAAAAGAATGGTCCACTGAGATGATAGCAGAATGGGTAGGCAACCCGTGCTATTAAATATTACTATTTACTCCAATAATTCTCTGATGTCCAGGCTGGGAAATGGGAATCTTAAAAATAAAATAAAAAAAATAACTTAAAAATAAAAACTGCTTCAACTGGGGAAAATAATTGACTCACAATAAAATGTAGATCAAACCAGCCAACCATGACTGACTGAAAACGGAACTTCCAGTTCGAAAACTGAGACTTTACACCAGTACGTTGGCTTTCTGTAAAATGTAAAAAATCACTCAGCCCTCCACTTATGGTGTGAGGAAATGGGAGAAGGGGTATATTGCCTCCCGGACTCTTGTTTGTCTTATTAAAGAATTAACTAATTAATTAACATTTTTAATTGTCCACCTGCATTCGCCATGTATAGCATGCAAGTAGATATAGGTTTGTGAAAATAAGTTCTGAAATAGTTTAGGAATGAACTTAGGTCTGACTAGATGGGTTACGATTTATTAATTTATATTGCTTCGGCAGTATTTGAATGGTCTTTACAAATTAAGAGCACTTATCGTACCCTACCCATCAACGAGCCATGAGATATAACCGCTATGTGTGAGATTCCTGTTATCTATCTTTGATTGTAGGGTGATCTGATCCAGCATGTTGTCCGTGATGGAACACAATGAAGCATAATGAAGTAATTCAACAGTATGACTAAATAAATCAGGCAGAGGAAAGGACAAGGGAAACATGAAAGAAAGAGAGTAAGCTAAAGTGAAGAAAGGCTCGTCTGTGAGTCAACAGCAGTCTGGTCGCATTTATTATCAAACATAAATTTCCAATAATCATAAACCAATACGTTAGCATGTAGTCTACTTATGTAACATGGTGGCCACTGGGTCTAACTTATCTGTTCTCCAAATTCAGCTGTGAATATCCAGGAGGTCTGAAAATTTAAACCACCCTTTGGTCCAGAGAAAATAATAAATATTTTTCATCTTTGGATACTCTGAACTCAAGACAGAAAGTCACAAATTGCATCACCAACATCTCCCTTCCTATCCCCGTCCCAGCCAGAGTTACCTAAGTAGGGCTCAATTTGAATTCTTACACTTCTAGCCAGGACTAAAGGTTGGTTGCTACTGAAGGCCTGGAGAGGCCATGGCACACTCACCACTGGTAAATTTCTACTTGCCCAGTCTTAATTATCACCCCCCATGGCTAGTGGGCAAGGGAACATTTTGAGTAAGTAATGCTAAATTACCCTGTAATTCACTTTGAGATCAGTATTTAATATTATCGATCGCAAATATTCTGCATTGGCTCTAAACTAATAAATACAAGTTGTATTAACATATCCTTGTCTAGATGAGTGGTCACTAACCCTTGGATCAGAATCCAAATACGAATGTGTTGGCATAGAATTAATCAAAATATATCAACTGTTTGCCATAGAAAATGTGAGCTGAAATTTTGGATTTCCTGATGTGGGTAGGGCTATCTGAGAAAGGGTTAACTTTCTGACACTTCATTAAAATCAATAGCACTCGCAGGGCTGCAGGGTTGGTTAATAAAAATCCCTGGTACGGCACATAAAGCTAACAAGCCTATGTTGTATAGTTCTTTTTTTATGTCCTATATTTACAATCCCCCTCCGATAGATTTAAAATGTTATCGGTATTTATTAACATTTTAATTTTATGGCAGAAACCAAGCAAAACTGACCACATATCACACATAGCCCACACAGATAATACATTATATATGTGCACTTTATGAAACCTGAATTATTAATCGTGACCTCCTATTGCACTATTTAATGCTTGTAAACAAGCTAAAGCAATCTTATGCACATTTACTATTTAGCTGTGTTACTGTCAGTCCACAGCGCCATCTAGTGTATAATATACACAGTTAAACCAGCTGTGGTTGGGCAGGAAAACAGGGAGAATATTTAAATTTTAGACAAAAAAGTAATTACTAAATTACCAACAATCTCCAACACAGCTATTTTTTACAGCTCAAGAATTTGATCTCAAATTTACAAAACTCCTGGTTTAGTGAATGTCTTTATATATATATATATATATATATATATATATATATATATATATATATATACACACACACACATATATATATATATATATATATATATATATATATATATATATATATGTGTGTGTGTGTGTGTTTCTCTATAGCCATATCCTGTTAGTTTGAATCTTTGTGTTTCGTCTACGTAGCTATGTAGAATCAAACTTATGTATTTATTTACAATGGACACTTTAGCAATGTAACATTTTTAAGACTCATTTAAAAGCAACTTTTACCATCAGTTAAAATAAGAAATATTGGGCTTGACATTCAATCTTAATTGTACATAATCTCTCTGTTTATTTTGTGAAATTGTCAGTGAGGGGTTGTCCTCTTTGAAAGATATCAGAGCTTAATGCATTCTCTCTCTGTAAAAGCATGTGGGAAGATAATAAGGAGGTGAAAGCTCTTGAATCAATTTGATGGGATGGGCTTTGGGTGTCATATGTGTCATGGAAAAATGAAGTGTCATTCTGGGGCTAATTACAGAGAAAACATGACAAGCCATTTATTCACCACCATGAACATGTTTAATTTCATTTAGCAGTCAACCCTGGCATTGTTACAGTTTTGTCTTAATACATTCGGGTTATAATCTACAATCTATCATTTTAATTGTCGATACTAGAAGGATAATGTTCATTTTTTAATTTATGTTTGTTTTGATTACTTTTTCGTGTTGTCTGCCATATTGCCTCTCGATGTGGCATACTTTGTCGGTTTAGAATCATGCCATATACCGGACATTAATTCCTAGTGGTCTTTTTTTTCCATAGAACCATGCGTTATGCATATTATTATTATTATTATTATCATCGTCATTTATATATGTATGTACGTATAGGAATGGCACTGTCCAGAAATGCTTCTCTGATGTCTATAAAAACTCTTGAAACAGACCTGCCGTCTCCTTTGTTGTGGTTACTCATATACTCAATGCTTTGTACCTCGTTATATTGCCTTTTGGTATCTGATTCAGGTTTTGTAACTGTTTGGTTTCCCTGACCTCGCTTGTCGTCCCGTTTCTGTCTATCTCTGTAATCCTAGACCTGCCACCTCTAACTTTGCTTTTTTATGCATTCTAGTATTAGATAAGAAGCTAAACTTGAGCTCCATGGATCCAGTATGTAACATATTATCTCACATATAAAACACAAAACAAATAGACACAAATTGAAGTAATATGAAACGTACGATTTCAGCACATTTCAAAATCTGACAAGGGACTATTTTTGGGGGAGGGGTAAGAAAATGGATTATTTCTTCTAATATAAGTTCTTATTATATAACTATGAATAATTATTATGATATAACTGTATTGGTATATATTTATTATAACATAAACAGTGCAAATAATAGCTGGTGATTTGTCAGTTCATAAAGTTTCTTATGATGCCTGGGGCTTTTTTACATGTTTAACAGCAACATTGGCATATAAAACATTGTAGATAAAAGAGGAGAGTGCCACCTAGTGGATATTTGTACACAGATAAAAGAATGATATTCGAACAAATAGCTGTGAATAGCACAGAAACAGTAGCCTGACTATGGGGGTTGCAAGTGGAGCAACTGTGAGCAAGTTCACAAATAGTTATGGTCATTGTAGCCTTGCACCTCCCTGTTCAAACTGGTGGCAAAGGCATTGAGAGCCATTGTGCTTTCAATAATTGATAGCATGGACCAGCAAAGGTGCCTTAGTTAAAAATCCCAGTATCACCATAGGTATTGATCCCCTGGCCATCCAAATTTGTAACTGGGGTCTCCAAAATTCGATGGCTTACAGAGGCATGCTCTAACACAATATAAATTATTGGTTGTTTTTTTATCCATTTATTATTATTAATTTAGGAAATCCAAATGTTTGTTAAAAATGTCAGAAATATAAAATAGATACTGTTTTAGCATTTTTTTTTCCTGTGCACTATCCAGACTGGTGAATACGCTGCCTTTCATCCAGAAATGCCCCCTAATAATACGTCTTATCACATATTATTAAGTAACCCATATTGAGAACTGTGCACTGTGCTGCTGATATATAAAAAAACAAATATAAAGATATAAAACCACCAATTAATCTATAACAGCTTCAGAGAAAAAACTATGGACGACATCTACATAGCTAGATCTATAATCCACAATACATGTCTTTTATTATATAAATATAGATTGATGTAAAACATTCCTTTCACAGGTATAATGAACACAGTCAGTACACTAACAATTGAAGTTTATGAACCTTGGCCGATGAACCTCCTTAAATACATGATAACGTGTTCTGATTACAGGCTATTTATTATATATTTTTTTATACATTTTCATTTATTCTTTGCTAGATATATTGAATTAATCTTTTACTATTGTGCGAGTAAGAGAAAAAAACTGTAATAACAATTACTGTGATTTATTTTTTATTCGCACAGTTTACCCAATTCATTTTTTACAGTAGCTTTTTAAACCTGTCCTGGCTTTATTTTGATAAGTGTCTGTGCATTTTTTTACAAGCTTGACATTTAATCCTGCACACTAATAAACATGCCACTGAATGTGACCTGCTGTCACGACTGCAGAGATATAGAATGTGGTTATATAGTGATATGTGGATACATAGTGGCAGTTAGTGGATGTTGGGAACCAGCAGTACTGATTTAGACTCATGCAGGTATAAACTTAAAATTCTTAATGAATTCAATAAGGAGGTTTAAAGTGTACCTGTCATGATACAGACTAACTTCTGTAAAATGATACGTAATAAAAATTCACCTGTACATTGTGCTAGCTAAAGTGCTACCAAATGTATAGATGTTTAGAAATAAATATGGTCACTCTAACATGTGTTAAATTAATTGCCAGCATAAACATTTATAAATAACACATAGACAAAGATCCAGACAGGGCAAGAAAACCTCTCCATCACAGCATCTCGAGTACAAGTTGCTGTGATTACTTCACTGGCTATGATCTAAAGGAGTAATCTAATGAAAGGATAGATGTAATTAAGCTCGTTTGAGCAGGATCCTCTTCAACCTAACTTCCTGTCCTAATGTTTCTAATACCCCACCTCTTATAGTCTGTAAGCTCGTTTGAGCAGGATCCTCTTCAACCTATTGTTCCTGTAAGTTTTCTTGTAATTGTCCTATTTATTGTTACATCCCCCCTCTCAAAATATTGTAAAGCGCTACGGAATCTGTTGGCGCTATATAAATGATAATAATAATAATAATAATAATAATAATAATGACTACATTCTAATGTCAATGCTCTGGCCTCTGGCAATGAGGTCAGCAATGCCAGCATCATGGGAGAGGAGAACCGTGCTTGGGACAAGATCCCAGGTAGGATCAATCACACCTGAGGTGGGGGCAGGGGGCAGGAGGGACTGGGATGCCTTTGTCATGGCATTGCAGGTAAGCTAAAGAGAGTATTCATATGACAGCTCCTAAAAAAAGAAATATAGTCAGGGGCTGTTATATGTAAAGCTAAACCTGTCATGGCAGGTTCACTTTAAAAAGTAATTTTTGTAACAAAGTAATAAAATGAATTAAAAAAATGAAATTATCAATTCTTAATGTGCAAATACTCTGGAGATTTCACCACCGGCTTTCCTGTTTTCTGCTACCAATCCCAGAATCCTTCAGGATTCACATTCTGCTCAAAACTGGACTAGACATATTTTATTGTGAAACTTGTATGAATTTCTGAACGAACTGCGTACCTCACTCTGTAGGATCATAACAGCATGATTAAAGTGATGATGTTCCAATGTGGCAGATGTTCCGTAGAGTTGAGACAAAGCTGAGCCACTCCTGAAAAAAAAAAAAGAATTGTGTCAGCAGTGTCATCCATCATTGTACTACTTCTTTAAAACTTGCAATGTGTCACTACTCTGCTTGATATGTGTGCTTCTATGAGCTGTAACAGTGACATTGAGTGAGAAGGTGCTCAATGACCTTGCATAGTCACCAAGGTTGTCAATTGGTAAATTCCTAATAGAACTTTTACTGTAATGATGTTTTGCTGACTTTAAGATTGGCCCCAGATGAAGCCCTATGTTTCTGCCAGCCTGGAACTAAACCGTTTAGGCCATTTTATTACATGGATACCTGGTTTTCAGGGAGTTTCTTTAAGGGCCACTTTAGGCACCCAGACCACTTCAATTCATTGAAGTGATCTGGGTGCAGTGTCCCTGTCCCCTTAACCCTGTAATCTAAACACTGTAGTTTTAGAGACATTGCAATGTTAATATTGCAGGATTAAGAAGGCCTGTAGTGGCTGTCTCCCAGACAGCCATTAGAGGTGCTTCCTGCTGTTTCATGGATTTAACTCAGTGAAACAACATTGGATGTCCTCACGCTGCACATGAGGACATCCAGTATCTTCAATTCCCCATAAGAAAGCATTGATTCAATACTTTCCTATGGGGAAGACCTAATGTGTTGTGCATGTGCATTAGGTTCCCCCTCAGTGCTGACTTCTCGCCGAGGGACCTCAGGGCTGGAATAAGGTGAGTGTTATAAGGTGTTTTAACCCTTTATTTTGATGACAGGGAGGGGCACAAGGGAAAAGGAGATAGGTTCCTTTAAGCTCCTTTAAGTTTTTTTTTTTAAAACTAACAAAGTCACACTTCCTAAGTAAATAAATACATTTGTAGAGGAGAATAAAGTTTGATTTATGCATTATCATAATTTGAATGCTAGCACATCTATAGTCTTTAACATGTGTGTACTACTGTGCCATGCTCTTACAATGCACACGTTGGAATCTCAGAATGCAGCTATGTGTATATAGCATTCTGATATTAAGCCTATATGGTAAAAGTGTGAGTACACATAGATTCAGTTGCAAAGCCAAGGGTTACATGTAACTTATGGTGATAAAATCTGCAGTAAACTTTTCACAACTGACGATCATTAATTTTCTATTACTCCCATGCTAACAATGGTTTTGTCAGGCAGCAGCAAATAAAGCTGATTAGAACCAACATCAAAGGAAAAGTAATTACATTGAAAGGGAAATAAATTAGTTCCTAAGCACGTGCACATTACTAATAACACAGAAATGCAGCATTACAATTAAACACACTGCTGCCTGTGGGAGCCATGTTAACACAAAGCAACCACAGATAACACAGAGTGGGGAATGCACAGAGATCCACCAAAATGGGCAATGGCCGTCCGCAGAAAATGGTAAATGGTCATCCGGATAGAGACTCACAAAGCTTGATGAATATCCGCCCCTTCTTTTTCTATCTCTTGTGTGGGGGACTGGAAGCTCATTAACAATCAACTCCTAACTATTTTTCCAACCCCTGGTATGTAGATAGTGGGTAATATTGAACAGTGCCCATGCACTGGAAAGACCTAAATCCAGTTAAATTATTTAATTTTTGTCCCTGAGGACATTTGCTCACAAGGGACTAAAACGCGTTGAACAGATATATATAATAACCTCAGTTTTATTTTATTAAAGGCATACTATAAGTTCCAGGAATACAAAGCTGTATTTTTGGCACTATAGCTCACTCTGCCTCCCCCCCTCCTTCAAACCCCCTACTGTGGTAAATAAAGAGTTAAAAACCCTTTATTCACTTACCCGATGCCAGCGCCGATGTCCCTCAGCGCTGGGTCGCGGCTCTGCCTTCTCCTCCATCCCAAGATGAGCGGGCGCTAATTTGCAGCGTGCGCTTTAGGCCTCCATATAGGAAAGCATTGAATCAATGCTTTCCTGTGGGGAAAAACTCTGACGCTGGATGTCCTCATGCAAAGTCCTCATCCAGCGTCAGATACCGGACCAAAGTTCCGTTTGGATGCAGGAAGCACATCCAGTGGCTGTCTGGTAGACAGGCACTAGATGCAGGCTTAGTGCTGCAATGTAAACATTATATTTTCTCTGGAACTGCAATCTTTAACATTGCAACAATAAGTGCAATAGTGACACTGTACCCAGACCACTTCAGTTAGCTGCAATGGTCTGTGTGCCTATAGTGTCCCTTTAAGATTTGACTTGGAACCCATTGCAAACATTCAGGAGGAGGCGGTAAGTACGGAGAGACAACTCTAAGACTAGACCTAAGAAAACAATGTATTTTTGATGTGATTGTTGTCAATATTCATATAGTTGCTAATAATATAATAAATACAATGTGTTTGCCACCAGTTCTTTTTTCATTATCATTCATGTGATTTTCATTTCATAATAATAATTTCTACACTATACCAAACAGTCCATAGAAAGTTTTTTTTTAAAATACGTGCTGGATTCAGGTAAGTTTGGATTTACAAGGACCATCCAAGGAAAACTCAAAAACAAATAGTGAGAGTGAATCTGCACTCAAAAATTTAATATTGTATTCAAAACTGGCAATTTACCTGAGCCATTAAGGCACCCAAAAAAAAAAAAAAATATGAAGTCAAACAGATACAATCTGTCCAAGTTACAATATAGTATACAGTTTTGTGAAATCAAAATCACATTTGCAAAATTGTAAATATTGAACCAAAAGATTTTTTTTTTATTGTTTTTTTTTTGCCTTTTTCTAATTTATTGAATTGGGTTTTTCTCCCTGGGACTGAGAATTCTAGGAACAGCAATTTTGCATATTTACAATTGTACAAATCCATTGGAAATCAAAAGAGTAGATCTGTATACCATACTGTTACTGTTCATTGTACCACTGACCACATTTCCTTGTGTCTTGAACAGATTTTAACTCTTTGACTGTATGTTTATGGGGTGCCTTAATGGTGCTTGTATATTGGTATTTTTTTATACTGTTTGCAACATTAGCATTTGAAATTAATAAGTGATAGTTTTTATTTTAAGTGTGAATTATCTCTTCATATATATATTTTTTTTTTATTTCATTTCATTCTTATTATCTATTGTTGACATTGGAATGATGGGTTAGATGTCCACCAATTCTGCAGAGTCTCCCAGGCTATTCTTAATACTGAAGCAACATTACAGGTGGCCACTGAACAGTAGCCTTGACCACACTATCAAGGCCTCAAGTGAGACAAAACGTGTCTCAAAATAATAACAAATGATAAGGAGTCCTTGAAGGATTGGCTAATGGTGCCATCTCATCATGTATCCCTCATCATAGATCCCTCATCATGGATCCTTCATTATGGATGCCACAATTCACAGACTACTCATGGTTATTTACTAAAGGGAGAATTCATTGTGACTTTAAAGTAAATTTCAATGTTAAGGCCAGAGTAGCCAAAGTGAAGCATGGCTGACTTAGACCATTTTTTCACTTTAGCTATTTTGACCTTAAATTATTAATTCCATTTGAATTCACTTTGAATTCTCACTTTGGTGAATTACTCTGCATTGAGTACAATGCAGTTAAGAAGACAGCAACATTCTATATCTCTGCTCTAAAAAATAATGTACTTTTTTGGTTGTCACCAGTTGGCATAACTGGTGTTATAAATGGGGTAGAACTACTTTACTGTCCTAAATATCTGTGCATTTTCACTAAGCAGTGGGATGTGGGTTTCTGTCAGATAGACTATGCTTGACCAAAAGGTAGACTCCGACAACTAAATACGCATCTGGGCATTTACCTTTCTACTATAGACTGAAAACAGAAAGTCATTTTAGTGAATATGTCCCTTCTAGCACATCAGTATCCACTATCTGCTTACAGGACATTTATAGCACAATTAAACTTTCCACGTTCCTCCAACAATGTGTCTATGTTTTATACACTGAGCAAAACCACAACCCTCAAAGTGTCAGGTAGTCTCTGCCAAGAAGATTACTCAGTGGTTGTGGTCATTCTTTCTCTGACATTGTTCTAACGTCTTGTCACTGCACGGAGCGTGATTTATCTCTTCTTTTGTTATATGTCCCTGTTGACTGTATAATGATAACATGTCAGAGTGACCCATGTCAAAGAGCCACCATTCTAAAACAAAATGCAAATAGAGAATTTAAAGAATATGTTCTTCTACATAAAACCAGGGCTATAGCCAACATTGCAAATATTAAGGGGGGAGTGGGGGGGAGGGGGGTGAAACACTGTAGACATTTTGGCAGCAATTTAAAGAGGAAAGATTGTGTAAATTATTTAGCACTTTAGGTTCTTAATCATTTGCCTTGCTAGATAGTAAGCCAGACACATTGAAAAACCACAAGATAATTAGAAGATATAACATTACCTTACTGCTTTAAAGGGATACTATGGTGCCAGGAATACAAAGCTGTATTCCTGGCACTATCGCTCCCCGTGCCTCCTTCACGCCCCACTGCCCATCTGAATAAAGGGTAAAAAAAACTTTATTTACTTAACTGATCCTAGTGCTGATGTCCCTCGGCAGCGGGGTGATGCTCCGCCCCCTCCAACGTCCCGTGACGAGCGGGTGCTAATGCGCATGCGCTGCAAGTGCCGCACGCACATTAGACCTCCCCATAGGAAAGCATTGAATCAATGCTTTCCTAATGGGGAAAAATCTGTCAGATACTGGACCAAAGGTCCGTTTCGATTCAGGAAGCCCTTTAGTGGCTGTGGACAGACTTAGTGCTTAGTTCTCTGGAACTGCAATGTTTAACATTGCAACACTAAGTGCAAAAGGAATACTGCACCCAGACCACTTTATTAGCTGAAGTGGTCTGGGTGCCTACAGTGTCCCTTGAAGATGAAAGCTGGCCACTATTGGCTTAACATGTTATTTTACCATGTTGCCAGGAAACCCCCACCATACCCTTTATATGTATCAGTATCTGACCTGTGATTGGAAACACGCAACACTTGTGTGACATAACAAGTCATCTAGAGAACAGCTTTTGATACAGACCTGCCTTGCTATTGCTTAGACTGGAGTCTGACTTTGGCCTACCTCAGACATCTGACTCTGACGTGACTCTGACCCCGCTTGAAGTCTAGTGGCTTAACATTCGACTGTATCCAAGGTAGATCTAGTTAAACATATTCTAAATCATGCCTCTTAAGAAGAGGATGGAACTCACATTTGCTATTCAATCCTGCTCTATGTTCTACTTCTACTACCTGTAACAACAAGACTCTCATACTTGTATTCACCGAAACCTCTAATGGTATGAAGTAGTATGGGTTCTACCTTCGTGGAACTAGCGAAAATCGCAACACATTAACCCACCCTAGGGCTATGTTAAAGCTGATTATTAGTAATGTATTGTTTTTTTTATGTGGTAACGTGTTATAGTTAAAGAAGGTAATTATTTAATTTACCTACCATCAATCTCACTGGAGCACATCTAGTGCATTTACAAAAGACAAAATAGAATGGTATTACAATTACTTGACCCTGGTTCCATTTATGTGTTATTAATATTTATTAAAAACATTTTTTTCCATTGTGTATATATTGTATGGAATAGCAGTTTGTTCTGAATAATAATAAAAATGTGTTGTCTGCAGAGTTTGGTTTTAGATAAATTCTAAACTTAAAGAAAGCCTTCCTTTTGGATACGTTAATATATTTTTCTTTACATTTTCTCAAAATGTATTGTGCAATGCGTTTGAGTCTGAGGACTGAATTATAAAGACAATGGCAGCGTAGAAAAAAAAGGTTAAGTGCAGAGGGAATGGTTAGACCCCTTTGTAGGAGCGTGTAATAGAGCATCATTTGTCATATTTTGGTAAGGTTTGCCATTAACCTTCCGTGTGCCAGAACAGTGAGTAATTAAAGTGTGTAGCATTATACCATACTTAACCTCTTATTACAGAGCAGCACACTACCATAAGTCAGAGGACAGATACAACTAAAGAAGGATAACACCAATGGTTAATGTCTCCCACCAGAAGAACTATTGAACGCAATTATGAAATTGAGAATTGTTGTGAATGGGAGGAGAACAGGATTGGACTGTCACAAGAGATTTATGTATCCTGCTATTCCACTTCTGGATCCCAGCCTATGGTGACAAGATGGGCTTTCATCTCCCAGAAAATGAGCGTAAGAGATTATGCTGGAAATGAAAAGAGCAATGCTCCCGGGAATGCGACCTGCAAAGCTGCATCGTCCTGATATTTAATCACCAAAGCATCTGCAATACGGGAAAGAGAACTGAAAAAAAAAGGCCAAGCATGGAAAAATATATGAAATGGTCCAGGTTCACCATTAGAAAGGTGAGAGAAAATGTTACTTTGTAATTTGGTTGGCAAAACCGGTTTGCTTACATACACTGACTCCAATATTTTTCCCTCCCTCCCTAAAAAGTTTTTGTAAAGGGTACTATTTAATGAGAAGCACCATTTGAAGAAGTCAGTCTGGAGCACAAGAACACACAAACATTTGGGGTTTAAGAACACTTACAATACAAACAGCTCGAGCCAGTAGGGTATGACCATGAGAGGTTTTAAAGATAACCCTGCTTTTTTACATGTGTGACTATTACACCTGTGTCAAAGCAGGGCTGTTTTCGAGGTCAGCTATCATGGCCGCCATCTTGTGTCCAAAACGAGATTTTAAGGATTATTCACCAAAGTGTAAACTATCGGAATTTAAAGCAAATTAAAAATGTTAGGTTTAAAAAGCTGAACTGAAAACATACCAGACTTTTTGTGACTTTCCCCCCAATTTCGCTATTTTGACCAAAAACTAAAAACTCACTTTGAACTCATTTTGAATTCACAGCAAAGCACCTTTTAGTGAATTGATTGTTATATTTTGAAATTGTGTCCTGTTATCAATGTTGTAATTAATTTGAATACTTAATGACACTGAAGTAGATAACTAGATTTTGTTTTTATATGAAAAAAACTGCTATGAATGCTCCTTCCTTTTTTGAAATCATCAGCTGTGAATGGTAAATGTTTAACAAATTCTTAAAGGGTCATGGTAAGAGCCAAAACCACTTCAGCTTCCTTAGACTATGGTCACTGCAATCTAAGATTGTAAGCTTAATTATGTTCCAAGATGATGAGATTTGAAATTCATCATGCACAGTTCAGCATTTGAAGCTGCTACCAATTTATAGAGGAGTTCCATTCATCACATGTAATAAATTAAACTGCTATTGGAGGGTAAAATATATATTCCATAAATCCCAGCTGGACGGAGGTTGATAGGATAAGATCCTCTTTTTTTGGTTAGATAGGGGACTAGTGTAGCTGCAATCAAACCCAGTAAACAGTGCTTCAAAAACAATGTAAAAGTCACTTTGTGTGTCTATTTGCATTGTATTTTAGATATTATTGATAATGTAATAATTGTATTGCAATGCATTGTATTTTAGATAATTATTGTAATGTAATAATATATTATCATATATATTGGACCGTCTTCCTCCATGGACTTATTTTAAGTGAAAAAAAGAATCTGAGAAGCTCACGTCAAGAAAAACTCATTTATTATTATTATTATCGCCATTTATATAGCGCCATCATATTCTGTAGCGCTTTACAATATTATAAGAGGGGTGGAATTTAACTATCAATAGGACAATTACAAGAAAAGTTACAGGAACGATAGGTTGAAGAGGACCCTGCTCAAACGAGCTTACAGTCTATTTATCAATTTAATTCAGTGTCTTTTACACTTAAGACAGAGAGGTCTAAAGGTCTTCAGAAATTATTACTGTGGGTATTTCTCCTTAATAATTGGATTAAGTTGCCCTGTGTAGAGACATCAGGGTTATTTGATAACGTGTGTGTTATCAGGAATTCCAATTTCAAATTTAATGCCAAAATAGCCTTGTCTGGTATGTTTTCATTTTGGCTACTTTTTGAAATTCACTTTGAATTCATGGCGATTTGGATGCAGTATTATTTACTTAAGTGAGAATTCAAAGTGAGTTTTAAATTTAAGGCCAGATTACCTGAACTGAAAGTATAGATTATGTAGAGAATTTTTATATTTTGGCAATATTGACCTTAAATTTTAACTTTAGTGAATAATCCTATCTGTGATGAGAATGTGTGAGAATTCTCATATCAAAGGCAGATTTGGGCAAACTATATCCTTTACTTTTACTAATAACGATTTTATATTAAAAACTAAATTTTACGTCATTTTGTAGTCGTTTATGATATTCTTATAATTTCCCAGCTACCCTTTCTTGTGTCTACAGGTCAGATTACTAGAGACCTGGATAAGTTAATTACAATAGCTCTGCTACAACAATTGCTAAATAGATTGTTTAAGATATTTTCAAAGATAATAGAAACACACCTTTATATATATAAACAAAAACATACTGGGATTTATTCACTAAACTTGGAATTGCTGAATAGGCAAGGAACCTAACTGAAAATTCCATAGAACATTTGAAAGATGGCTGACTTGTGCCCTCTAGTGGTTCTGGTCGATTTGTAGCACTCCGTACTCTGTAATGCAGTTTCCCATTCTACCTTCTGTGAGCAAGAATGAAGCCCCCCCAAAGGAGCCTGAATAAACTGCATAAAATTTAATCCAGCTCCGACTGCAGATATATGATATATAAAATACCATGCAGAGACAAAATTATCAAAGGGCTATACACTAAAGTGTAAAATACTGCAAATTCAGAACGTACAAAGTAAATTTCAAATTTTCACCAAAAACAGCTGAATTGAACACCAACCTAACTTGCAGAAGTTTTTGAATCAATCTATTTTGGCCTAAAAATGTTTAATTTACTTTGAATTCACTTTGTCTTCCAACTAGCAACACTTAGAGGATATCCCACTTGTTATAGAGAAAGAGAGACAAACATTTTTAAATTTCTGTATGTTTTCGTCCATCGCAGTTAACTTTTCTAATCTATTATCCACAGAAGATTTTCATCTAGCCAAGAAAGTACTTTCTACCCACCATCTATAATCACTAAGTGGAAAGGCAAACTACGGAAGAATGTTATACATTTCTTACAATAAGGACATACATTTCAGGGGTTTGAGAAATGAACAAACAGTTCGTAGATATTTTTGTCCATTGCCTCAAATAAGGCTAAATGCGTTACAAGGTATATAATGTTGAGTTGAACATTGTGTGAAATGGGCCACTGCATCGCTGTATCATTTGGTTGAGTAAAGATAAATTAAAGGTTCTAGAGTCAAACTATATATCTTTATAAACAGTGTCAGTGACACTTTAGCAAATCATTTTTAGTGATTTTTTGGCATGATTTATTTTCTGGTTGCAGTGGTTATGGTGGAAGGAGTGGAGCTGTTCCTCTGTAATGGGACAAACCACTTTGCAATGGTTTGCACTCTTACCGAGACGCTGGGTCTCCATTGCTGGCTGGCTAATAACATCTGGATTATGCAGAGCTGCAGAAGCCGCATCACATGTCAATCTTGGTGCTCATTCAGTGAGTGTGAGTGTCAGCTAATTGCTATCTGATGGGTTATCATTTTTGATGCTTCTGTGTCCTAACTATAATTTTTAAATAGACATCATTTTTGTTAGTGGTGCAACAGATTAATCAATTTTCCACCAATGTTTCTGACAGCAAAGCACTAGTGATGTCCCAAACGGTTCGCCGAACGGTTCGCCACGGACTCATCATTGAGTAAACTTTGACCCTGTACCTCACAGTCAGCAGACACATTCCAGCCAATCAGCAGCAGACCCTCCCTCCCAGACCCTCCCACCTCCTGGACAGCTCACTAAGAATGCAGTTTCACAATGAATGTAAAATGGATGCTGTCCAGGAGGTGGGAGGGTCTGGGAGGGAGAGTCTGCTGCTGATTGGCTGGAATGTGTCTGCTGACTGTGAGGTACAGGGTCAAAGTTTACTCAATGATGAGTCCGTGGCGAACCGTTCGTGGCTAAACGTTCGGCGAACCGTTCTGGACATCACTACAAAGCACTGTCTTTTGTTATGCCACTTTAAAGTTGTCAATCTTCCGAAATGGAGGTTTCTGTGAAAACTTGTAGAATTTACCATAGAAAAACTGTAACTTTTTAGATGACTTTTAGAACACTTTATTAAATGCAATGAAATAATAATAGAATTTAACCATCATTTTTCTAAACACTTTGATAAATATCCCTGTTTGTATTTCTGTGTAGATCTTACACTTTCTGCACAGTATTAATAGCAAAAAAAATTAAAAATAAAAACATAAACCCCCAACCTTTATTGTTGATAATGCAGACACTTACTTGGCCTGGAAGGCGTTGTTGGTTCCCCTGTGATCAAGGTCATGACAAAGACATCCCACAATCAAAGCCAATATTTCAGTTTCAGTGAGAATTTCCTGAAAACCTGCTGTCTGTGGGGGAAAACACAAAATGTGCTGTAACTAACAAAGTTGTTAAGTGAAAGCAATTCATTAACATGGTAAAGAATGTCAAAACAAATTGTAACACAAAGTTTAAAGGGACATTCTACTCTGGGGTCATCAGGGCAGCCCAGTTCTACAACATCTAGGGATCTACTATTTGCCCAGCCCTGCGATTCACGACAATAATTTCATCACTATGAAGTGGTTGTAGTGCGCGGAATACCTGGGTGCTGACCCAGTATTTTTAATGGTTTAACACGGATTGGTCCTTGGCAGCTCACAGTCAATTCTCCACTGGAATTATGGCTGAGGCAGAGACTATATTCTTTCTAAGCCATATCAATTTATACCAGTGATGGGTGGCTGGGATAGGCTGAAAGTGGACAGCTGACAGAGCCACAGATTCCTTGTGAAACCTTGACCTATCAAAGCTCTCATCAAAGCCCACCAATGGTTGAAACACTACCAGGTCCACTTTAATGGCTGAAAACTCCAATGAAGAGGTCACCTATAGTAATGTGGCTCTTTCTATTTATTGTAAAACAGTCCTGGAAGATCCAGCAGAGTTTATTTTCACTGGAATGGAGGCAGAAAATAATTCACAAAGGAAAGATCTTTAACAAGTTATGAAGATAATTTTCTCTCAGAAATAAATTGTGCAAATCTTTTTCGACAACCAGCTTTTATGTAGCCACAGGTAGCGCGAGGCTTTAATTAACAGGATTATTTTCTTCATATTTGAATATACAACAAAAAATAGCAAAGGTATTTTACTGAGAATGCAAAACAGCCCTCCAGCAGAATAAAAAAAAAAAAATAAAATAAAGAAAAAAAGTGAAAAGAAGTAAGTAAACTGTCAACATTTTTAAGCATTTTTTTAATTAAAAAAATAAACCAATACTGCCCCCACAGTATGTTTCAAGTGGTTAACCTACATAGTTACATAGCTGAAAAGAGACTTGTGTCCATCAAGTCCAGCCTTCCTCACATTTGTTTTTTGCTGTTGATCCAAAAGACTGAACCTGTACTACCTCCTACCCATTACACTTATGGTTAGCAAGACCAGCCTTATTCCACTGTTTAACTTACCTACCGATAGGTCTTGACGATCTTAGACATACTGACATGGTTATCAGCATCTAAGGTGACACAGCTTTGCATTCCATCAAAGTATCCTATATGTCGGTGAAGTTTAGCGTATGGGTATATTTTATATTCCAGATTGATGGTTTAGCTAGTTAATTAGCTCCCTCCTGTTTTTATTATTTTCACTATTAATAAAATAAAAAGAGGCTGTTAAACTTAGGGGTTTTGCAGACTCGCACGTGATGTTCTTGGGATGTACTTATGCATTATAACCTTTACTTCTTTTTTTCTGTATCGTATACCAGATTGCCACGATAAAAGAAAAAAATGCCAATAAATAAATAAATAAATTAATTAATAAATCAATATTCAACTTCTGCCAACCTTTTCTGATAATAAATATCAATTAGATTTTATATTATGGCCATTGCTAGATTACTGTGTGCAGATGTGGCAAAAAAACTTATTTTGAATCTATCCATCTATCTAGCTGTCTGTCTGTCTATCTAAAGTGTATTGAATGGCTATTTATTTATTATTTTTACATTCACTGTAATGTATTTATTTATTTTATTTCTTCAGTTCTGGTACTTGTAAATGCACTAAAATTCGACCTAACTGAAATAAAAAAAACACTTGCAAATTTTTTTTGACAAATTGTTGCCCATACATTCAACTTTTAGTTAGTAAGTAAATCTCTAAACTATGTTTATTAAAAGACCATTAGCATTCCATTCTGTGTAGAAATACACGCAAGGAATTTATTTTCCAAATTTGAATAAAATGAAAATCCCCATGAACGCTCTACTAAAAATTCACACCAAAAATATAAACTGGATTTGGCCTGTGAATCCATTCCAAGCAAGGACAGGCGTGAGCCCATAAGCTATTAATTATTGACGTTAATAAAATAACGTAATAGTTATTTAATTTATTAGGCGTACTATAACTTACTGACAAAAACATATTACATTTTTATACTTCCACTGAACAAAGGACCACTGAACAAAGGACCATTCCTTAAAGAATGAAAATAAACTCTATAGTGAATATGTTCATCTCCAGTTGAATGGTTAATACATAAACATTACAATGAGCTTAACCAGTGGTTCGGAACCTTTCCTGACCCAAATTATGTGTTTTGAACCCCGTTGATGACCCATTCTCCAGGTTAAAATTAGCTTAGTGATTTGTGCTATGTAACATCTTCATTAGAAACTTCCCAGCACAGGAATCTGAGGACGGCACTGCTGCTACAGTTACTAATCTACTGCAGGTAGTTGCTTGTCTCTGGATGAATATGATTGGTCTGTATCCTAGTGTATCCACACTGTTTGCGTGATACCTTAAATGTGAATACAATTACCAAACTCAAGGTGCCATCATGTGGAGCAAATAGGCATTACAAACACATATTTTATTTTTTATGACATTGTTCGACTAACGAAAAAAGGTATATATGCTATATTTGCTTCCCTTTCCCGGCTTCTCTTAGATAGGACTATGTTTAAGAGGGTTCCGTGTGAAACAATATCTAAACTACCTGCAAATGTTTGAGGTTATGAGATCTTGGAGATATTTGCTCTCAAATGTGTTCTAAATCACCAAAATACGTACAAGTCCTGATTAAAAGCAAAGCAGCAATATTCAGAAAATATGTGACATTTTACAAAGCGTTCAACTCATGTTTGTCTATCTCAGAATGTATTTAGTACATAAACAGGGTTATTCATTAAACTAGGTGTTGTCTGGAACAGCCACGAATTACTGAACAAAATATATTGGTGTTTGATATCTAATATTCCTAGGGTCCACACTGAAGGATCTAGTTGGATTTCAACTACAATGTCACACTATATGTGTATGGATTAATAATAATCAAGCTTATGAATAGCTGAGCATAGGCATCAGTATTTTACATCCAATATTTTCTAACCATTTGTCATACGAAAGAGTAAAAAAAAAAAACATTTAAATAAATAAAGTCCTACATCTGCTAAACATTTAAAATTAGCAACCGGGCATCAGATAGGGCTACTCTAATATTAAAAGGGGAAGACCCATTGGTGACGAGTGGAGGCCCTAATATTAAAAATATAGAGGGAGAAACTAGTGATTCCCCTGGCCCCCACCCATGGTCGATGGGTGGGGACCCTCAAGTTAATAATAAAGGGGTAGGGACCTAGTGTCCCCCCTGACACTCCTAAAGACTAAAGGTTTCCCAGCAGAACATTGCCTATAGTATAACATTGCTTCCACCAGCCTGCCTGTTTCCCACAGTGCATGCTGGTGTCATCTCTTCTCCAGGTAAACGACACACACGCACCCAGCCATCAACCTGTCTCCGATGTTTCCCCCTGTCATGAAGGGGTCCATAAGGTGGCCAGCCTGCATATGGCTTTGTTAGAATCAAAGGCGGCGAGGGAACTGTGCCAGCTCCCTCGCCGCCTTTGATTTTAACACAGCCGCACGCACAGCTCTCACAGCAGCCCCACTGGACAGGTAGGAAGGCTGGGTGAAAATTTTAAAAGTATTATAATAATATTAATAATTAGTGTGTGTGTCTGTGAGTGTATGAGTGTATTTGACTGTGAATCTATGAGTGTGTCTTTGTGTATGTATGAGTGTGTGTGACTGTGAGTGTATGTGTGTCTTTCTGTGAGTGTGTGTGCATGTGAGTGTGTGTGTGTGTTTGTGAGTGTCTGTCAAATCAACTAGAGTCTGTTTGTCATTGAGTCTGCGTATGACTGTCAGTGTGTGTCTTTCAATGAGTGTCTGTCAGTGTGCGTGTGTTTGTCTGTTAATGAATGAGTGTGTGTCAGATCAGTGAGTCTGTGTCTGTCAGGGATGTATGTTTGTCATTAAGTGTGTGTGACAGTCAGTGCATATCTGCCAGTGTGAGTCTATTGGGGAATATGTGTGTGTCAAATCAGCGAGTCTGTGTCTGTCAGTGACATCTGTGTGTTTGCCATTGAGTGTGTGTGTGTGTGACTGTCAGTGTGTATCTGCCAGTGTGTGACTGTCAGTAAATGTGTGTGTGCCTGTCAGAGTGTGTGTTTAAAGGGACACTATAGGCACCCAGACCACTTCAGCCGAATAATTACCTTGAGGGGTGAACTCCTTCCGGGTGGTTAGGCGACTAAAAGTTGCGTAACTGATGCTGGACATCCTCACGCTGTGCATGAGGACATCCAGTGTCTGCTAAATCCCCATAAGAAAGAATTGATACAATACTTTCCTATGAGGAAGCCTAATGTAAGCACAGAGGAGGAGCTTGACCCAGTGCTGACATGACATCGGCGCTGGATTCAGGTAAGTGACTGAAGGAGTTTTAACCCCTTTAGTGCCGTGTGGGGGGGGAGTGGGGGGAGGGTTGAGGGAGGAGGGAACAGGAGGTTGGGGGACACTAAAGGGAACTATAGTGCCAGGAAAACTTTCCTGGCACTATAGTATCCCTTTACAAGGAGAAGGAAATGGTGGACTCTAAAGAGGAAGGGGTGTGTTCTTAATCAGGAAGGGGTGGGGGGCAAATTTAGATTAGGGGGTTGCCCAGGTTTAGTCATACCTATGGCAGCACAAAACCAAAATACACCACGGTGCATACCGGGAACCAGCCTCAAGATTTCTCGTTTTGGAGATGCTCTGATTCTGTCATTTAACCATCACTATTTGGCCATTGTCAAAGTCACTCAGATCTTTTGGTTTGCCCATTTTTCCTGCTTCCAACACATGAAATTCAAGAACTGACTGTTCACTTGCTGCCTAATATATCCCACCCTTTGACAGGTGCCATTGTAACGATATAATCAATGTTATTCACTTCACCTGTCAGTGGTTTTAATGTTGTGGCTGATTAGTGTAAGTAGCATAATTCCAAATTGTAGCAAATTAAAATCTGATTGACAAACTTTACACTTGAAATACCTGGATATATTCTCCAACTCTGCTGCACTATTTTTGCCATTTGGATTTCAAATCCCTACAATTCAGAGTTTAGTAAACTAACACCATAAGAGAAAATAGGAACTACTTTGTTTCATGTGCAAGCCTGAGGAGACATCTATTTTACCTTTTGTTAAATCCCAGGAGCCATCCTCAGCTTTTGGAATCAGGCATCATCTAGCTCATTTTGAGATAAGATCTATGGAACCTCCTGTGATCTCACAGGATCCTGCTTAGGTCTCAGAGTTGTGCTCTCATACGTGTACAAGAGTACAGCACTGATACGGCTCATTACAGGTGAAGCTCCAGGAGCTAAAGATGGCAGTGACTGTGAGAGTCAGCTTCAGGTAAGAATGCCAACCTTCCACTGCACCCTGTGGCGACCGGACCCTAAGCGGATATGTCAGCTTCGAGTCTTTGCAAAATGTGCACAAACCCCAGAAAGTGATAGATCTGCTTTAAATTAGTCAACATTATCATATGCATCATCATCATATTCACATAAAAAGGTTTTACTTCAGTTTAAATAATTCTACGAGATCTCACGCTCTCGGGTGGACTTGTTCACATTTGGTTTGCACAAAACAAAACTGATCAAATGCTAAGACTTTAATACCAGGCATTGGGAATAGAGAGCAGATGTTGTCCAAGTTATACGTAGTGCAAAAGTAAATAGGAAGAGATAAAAATAATTATGATGAAATCCGTTTTTAGCGTGATTTTTAATGTGGCACTAGGAAAAACATTGAAATTCAAAGCAAAAAAAAAAACCTTTACTGCACCTTAAAAAAAAACAACATATCTGATAAGACTGTGAGAGGGAGATAAGACCAGTGTAGTTAGGCGTTGTACCATGCAGTGCCTAATTATACGCTCCCTCTGTCTTTTAATTACTTTGTGTTTGCTTAATGATGTTGCATCTGGAAGTACGCACCTGATTGCCATTTTTATCTTACTTCATTACTTGTTTGGTATATTTGCCCAGCGGGTTAATCGGACACTATATGATGTTGCGAAAGGTGCATGCGCATAATTTACACTACTTAAAACATACGTTGGGTCTTATTTTTGTTTCCTTATTTATTGTTTAAAAAGGCAGTGGGAGATATTTGGCAACTGACTTGAGAAATTTTGAGATTTGCTTCCATATCTTCTATTTAGACCTATCTTTTCTAAGATTAGATTATTTTCTAGAAGATTATCTTGCCATATCGTATTCTTTAGTGAATAAATGCTTTAGTGCAAGATTCTTAAAAGGGCACTCCAAGCACCGTAACCACTAGATTGTGCTGATTGCTCTCAGCCAATCAGATACCACATAGCCTAGCAGAGACAGAGAGCTTCTGGCTATCTGATTGAAGTGGTGGAAGCTGTGGGCTGCGACTTCAGGTAAGAAGTCAAACCTTTCTAAAATGGCTTGACAACTAATAATTGAAAGTTGGGGTGCAAGGACACTGACACCATGCACTGTAGTGATTATAGTACTTTAAATTGCTCGACTACAACACCTTAGATTCCATTGCCCTGTATTATATTCACAAACCTTGGGGATTATTATTATTGTAGTATAATACAATCTAGGGAGTTTGATGACCCTGCCTTAGTGGAAACTAAACTAAAATTCAACTTACCTTGTAACCTTGTCAGAAGGGTGAAGGCAACATGACATCATTCCCAGACTCATACTGAACTTGGCATAGGGCAAAGAGATGTATGGACAAGTGTGTCTGTAGTAGTACACTCAGACTAAAGCCTTGATGGATTTTTATGGTCTTTGATAGTTTTTAACATCATAAACATTTGTCAGGATGCCAATGCATACATAGTGTGACAAGGCTGCAACAAATCAATCCTGGCTCCTCGGGGTCATTAGAACTTTTTACTGCTTTCTTTCAACTCCGAGGTTGATATGAGCTTGAGTGGGAAAAATGCCAAATCTGTAATTCTGCAGCTCTCTCCGTGAGTCACCGCTCTAAGTCAAATTGTTTTTACACCTGTCAAATGATCATTGTCTCTGCCAGGCTGAGTCAGCTATTCCGTTATTGAGTGGTCTCACGGATGAGACATGAGAATTAATATTTTATGATGGCTGTAGAGATATTTTATGCCCTCGTGCACATTTCTTCTATCTCGATATGTCAATTCTCCAGCTTGGCCGTGTAAATCACTACATACAACCCCACCGGTTGTAAACTGAGAAAAGACAAAGAAACATGAACACAGCAGATGATAATTCATCTCTTCTGATTCAAACAGATGTTTCTTTATTCCTTATATATGAGGATATGCATTTTTTTTGTTTTAGCATTTTGAAAGGCTCCTTGGCCAATCAGATGTTTTCTTCTCGGTGCGTGGTCTCATGCGTATTACGATGTTTTATTGAAGACACTAGGAAACAGGAGTGTAAAATTCTATAGTCTCATTGCCAGCAAATTTTCTACATCTCATCTTTATAGATTGTTGGCAACTGTCAAACTTTAACTTTGGTTATTCTTTCATGCAGAAACTACTCAGAACCCAAAAGTTCATTTGACTGCTTTTCATGCCCGATGGTTTGGAAATGGTTAGAGTAGTGGTCAGGTCTCTGTCTCCAGTGAGACCACAGTGAGACCACATCACCTAATGATATATTTATCTGCCTACCTCAGATTGTCAGCTCATTTGAGCAGGGAATTTTTAACACCCCCCTCTATAATTGTAATGTACTGCGGGATATGTTGGTGCCTAAGAAATGTTAGCAATAATATATGCTGCTGTTTTGTCAGGCCGACATCCTGCAATCATACAAATTCGTATTTAGACCAATAGGCTAACTTATGACATAAGCTACCTTATCGTTCTTTAAAAGCAAACAAAAAATGCATTAACCTATTCACTGCCAATGATGTGAATACACAAGTGTTAAAGGTTCAGCCTAGCATAGCATAGTACATACCCTAATATGTAACACAATTGGCACCCTTCCATATTAATTTTGTTAGAAATATATGCCAATACTTATTAAAGCAGAGGCCCAGTCCACAAATCTACTAGCAAACTCTCGAACAGATGCTAATGGGCAATAGACATAGAGAGACAGGTAAGTAAATTTATACATCCCCCTAGGTCTTAGCTCTTGAATGGCTGTAGATGTACAAATGAGATAAGGAAACAATTTCCTTTGTGTTTCCTTATCTCAATTGTAGATCTACATCCATATTCTCCAATACATTTGCTGCTTCTGTACCATATAGAAAGGAATATAGTCTGGCACATTCCTGGAGAAAACTACTATCACTATCTATTAAGATAAGTGTTTTTCCATCACACTATTTATTTGTTTTAAGTGTTGGATGTGTTTGTCTAACTTAGCTCTTGAATATCTGCAGATGTACCTGTTTTCAGCTCTGTGGCTCTCTGTGCTTTTGTGTGTGTGTGTGTGATCTGTGTGTGACTGCATGTGTGTGTATATGTATGTGTGTATCTCCCTACATGCTGCACGTGTATCTAACTATGTGTGTATCTGTCTCACTGCATATGTCTCTCCCTTCGAGTATTTCTCTTGCTGAATGTGTTTTTGTGTGTGGGTCTCCCTGTTTGAAAAAGAAGAAAAAAGAAGAAAAGAAGAAAAACTACCACAACAAGAGGACATAGTCTTAAATTAGAGGGACAAAGGTTTAAAAATAATATCAGGAAGTATTACTTTACTGAGAGGGTAGTGGATGCATGGAATAGCCTTCCAGCTGAAGTGGTAGAGGTTAACACAGTAAAGGAGTTTAAGCATGCGTGGGATAGGCATAAGGCTATCCTAACTATAAGATAAGAGTAGGGACTAATGAAAGTATTTAGAAAATTGGGCAGACTAGATGGGCCGAATGGTTCTTATCTGCCGTCACATTCTATGTTTCTATGTTTCTATGTTGTCTGTGTTTGTCTATAGTTTTGTGAGTTACTACTGGAGCAAAGTTTATCGGGCTATATGAACACACTTGGGGTAATGTGAAAATACACAATGTTAAATGTACAAGGAAATAAGACAATGAAAAGGAGTTATATATTACTGTGATAAGGTATGGGACTATATATATATATATATATATATGTATATATATATATATATATATATATATATTGCTAATTTAATAATAAGGGAATATAGTGTTGAATACTTGCTTTGGGGAAATATAGCCTATAGCATATGATGAAATGGAAACACATCACATGGAGAGACCTGTAGCATAACTTCAGAGTTCAGGAAAAGACATAATTTATGAACGTGGATAGCCTTTATTCAAAACAATGTTTTCTAATCCTCAATTTTTTTCTGCAAATGATAAAAAATGCAATTTCAGCATTATGCATGGAAAATAAATATAACCATTGTTCTCTTAAGCTTAAATCTCCAAATTCTGATTTTTAGATCCTTTAGATCCATATCTTACACATCATAGGGGCATTTAAATGTTTCCTCCCTTCCCTCACACTCTCTCTCTCTATAGAAGTATAAAGTTATAATTATAAGTTATAATTATAATTATAACTATAATATATAAAGTATAATTTATGAATAAATTATAATTAGTGCACATGAAGACCTGCATGTTATCTACCTACATGTCTGGCTCCAATTCACCTACTTACTGCAGTCTTTCATTGTGTGCAACCATGACCTTGGGTTACCAATTACCTGTGTTGGAACGCAATGGATCTGTTATGACCTGTGTTGGAACTCGATGGATCTGTTATGACTGTGAAAGTGCTTGAAGGCACCATGCCACCAATTTGCAGTTTAAGCCAAGCATTCTCTTTGCTAATCAGCAAATCTAAGCAGCTCTGTACATTAGCTCTTGAATGTTTTGCAAGTTTAGTTTTCTGGACTCCTTATATCCTAAGCATAGGCTTTGTTATTCTGTCGATCCTGATTCATGTAGCCCTGACCTCTGGCTCATTTCTAAATGTATTGTTTGATTTTGCCTCTAAACTTGAACTTGTGTGGCTATTCTATTGGATAACCATGTGGCTCTGATTTCTGCCTACACACAGCTGGTCCAAAATGATTGACTATGTATTGTTATTAAAGTAAACAATTCTTGCATATTTTGTCCAATATTCACCTGAGTATATTAGAACCTGCATGAACATTAGTGACATTACTACTGCTTGTAAAACTAAAGTGAGGGTCCATAAAATACTTTTTAATCTCCCACTGTTTGACCTGTCGTTGCAAGTCCTGCATCACTTTTGCTCACAAATACAAGGCATCAACATACTTGTCTGGATTCAATGCAGTTATTATCGGAGTATTGGGGTATTTTGCTCCTGTATCCTGACATAGCGGTCACTTACATTAGAGTATCTGATTTCTGACCTGCACCTTTCTCTAGACAATTTTTTTTTCACTTGCCTAAATTTTGATATTCCAGTTTTTGTTTGTTGACCAGCTTTCTCAAATCCCTGTATCATGTAACAAAACTGACAAACATAAATAAAAAAGGAAACATATCCTACATTTGTCTGTTCAAAGTCAGGTGTTCAGCTCTTTTTGAAGGACAGTTACCCACAACAGGGCCCATTTGCACCTTCAGTACCTGCATTGTGGGGTTTTTTTTTGGCTCAGTGTCTGCATAGTCACACAAAATCTAGTGAATTTGTGACAGGTGCTCATATCAGGAACTGGAGGAGGTCAAGGCTCACACTTGCAATAACTGCCAACAATACTGGCAGGGGTAATGTATCCCCCGTAGCAATGAACTATTACATTCTGATGTAACAGAATGATAATTTAGTGGACGTGTGTCCTATCCCTGTTCATAACTAGGCAAACCAAGTATATTACATTAGATAACACCCATTGGGCAACCAATATAAATGTCTTTACAAAGGTATCAAAGTTTAAGAAAGTGACTTTATTAGATATTTAAAATGATAATGTCAGATGTGAATTTATCAATATGACTGCTTCATCTGTAGCTGAAAAATGTTTTGAACACCGTGAAAAATTATCCCTTATATTATATAATTATATGTTTATAAGCAGGTCACTGAAAAAATAAATAAAAATAAAGATAGATTGATAACGATAAAATCCCTTAAATAAAAAAATACATAAAATATATAAATATGCTAGAAAAAAAAAGAAATCATAGGGACATAACACCACAACAGCATTTTAAAGACCATGTAAAAGCAATCCACTGTTGGTGGATAGTGCTAATCTCATTTTAGAAAGATTAGCTGATTGATGCAACTTCTGTAACTGCAAGTGATGTGCCAAGACAACATTGTGACTTAACACATCCTTGATAGAGTTATCACACGGCATTAGTGGTGTAGACAGTGATTAATTATCGTGCTCCCCTCCTGCAAGACATAGTCTTTTTTACTCTACACAAGATCTTAAAGAATTTTAACTGTGTTTTTTTGGGGGGTTTTTTGTGTTGTGTTCAAAAAAAAAATTTAGTAGGTTATATTTATTAAAACTATAAAATGTGTGGAATAACATAATAAAGCCTCATAAAAAGTACTGCATTGCAGCATATCGTATGTATTTTAATTTTATGAATGATTGTTTTTTTCTATATTTAGAGTGATATCAGTTCACTTTGGGATTTATTCACCGAGCAGAGCATTGTGGGGAATTTACAATTGCATTGTAACAAATTGCTCAAAATGTATCACTTTGATATATTTTTATGCAATAAGTACCATCATTTTTTAGCTGCCCTGACTATCTTTTGCAAAGGACAGTTTGAACTCTATGGATTTACTAAATTGGAAACATTTGAAAATTGACAATTGGATTTTTTAAATTTTCGGCTAAAACAGTGAAACTGGGAAAATAGCTGAGTTGGTAAATCTCGCCATGTATGCATTCATTGTAAAAGTATTTGCATATTTTTCCCATGTGATAACACAAGGTTTGGACAGGGTTATTAGGATCATATTGCATAGAATTTCGCAAATCGCTGAAGCTATTGAGGATTATATCCGGGGAGAACAAGGCAAGAGAGTTACTTGTATCGTAACCTTTGATATTGCAACACAAAGACATTTTTTACTTCTATTTTGGAAAGTGTGCATTAGTTTTTTACTTTCTTTATTGTACATTATATTGCAAACAAAATACTACTGTAATAACAGCGATACAGAAACATTACTATAGCACTGACAATCTCAAGCAGGGAGTGAATATCCGGTACTTACAGTTAACATGGCAAACATCAGCTGGCAAACATTAAACGCATGCCGCCAGTTATGGTACAGGACCATCCGATAATTCTTTCTTACTGTCAAAAGCCATCTGCACAAAGTCTAAAACACAGAAAGGAGGATATGAATTATGAAAATGAACAGATGTATATTCGTACACCCTGAACAATTGTTAATTCTGCTGCTTAATTTTGTTTTTATTTTTATTACGTCTTACGTGCTTTTACACACACTTGTCTTATGTCCATTTTATATTGTGTAGATGCTCTTGTTGTGTTCGTGTGGTTGTAACATGCATGAAAACGTCAATAAAAATCTCATATGAAGGAAACAAATGCATGGAGATATATATATAGCAGATCCCATTATGGGTGTCCGTTGAGTCACACCATACAGTATTAGAGCATAGCAGAACTTTACCTCGTAGTCAATTTTAAATTTCTGAACCATGCCCAATTCCATAAACATCCGCAAGGCCGCTGTAATCATGGCATCGACATCAAGGGAGAAATCGTCAAAATGCATAGCATCAATGAAAAGCTCTGTCACCAAAGGGATGTTGGCTGCCTTAAATGATAGAGAACATAGTTACAATAGATACATAGTTACAATTTTCAACACTCGCAGTATACACTACAAGGCTTAATAGTATATGCTCTGCAGCAAAATATAGATTAAATGCACAGAGTGAGAATAATTCAGTTACCAGTATGTTGGATGCTTTAAAAATGACACTCTATGCACCAAAATCACTGCATTTGAACTTGTGTGGCTATTGAAATCGCTTGGGTACACATATGTTATCCCTTTTTTAAACAATGTAAAACATTGGCTGAAAAAGCACGACTCCAGTGACTGTCAGACAACCATCCATTCGTATGAACTTTATTGAATATCCAAATGGCATTTTGGATTAGAAAATGTAGGTTAAAAATATGCAATAATTTTGCTTTGGAGGCATGTTTGGACCTTAGTAGTTTTTATATTAGAATCCCATTTCCTGCATTGCCATGCAACAATCTTGCATAAATCAAATACATCTTTACAAGTATTACTCTCCAAACAATTACCTTTAACCAAATTAAACAATTACCTTTGTGCATTAATAAACAAAAATAATAATTAATGAACACTAATAAGTATTATTATGATGATCGAAATGAAAGGTGTGAATAACAAACAATTCTGAGACAGTTCTAAAAGTGCTGCAGTTTGCAGGATTCCACTGGTTACCATGGTGAGTGCATCACTTTCAGAACTCCGAACCATAATTGCTTTTAAAGCACAACGTCCAATGTGTCTGTGATCCTGGAGACCTTGCTACATAAAATAAAACACAGACATTATACTTCGATTCTCACTGTATTTTCAGATGTTGCCTCTACTGTAGAGCAAGAATGGCACCCAGTGGTGAAACAGATTTATCCCACTTTGCCCAATGTGGACAAAAGAATGTATCCGATTTCATAAAACAGCGGGCTTTTGTCAGGCTAAATCACCCGAGAATACATCAGTGTGATACAAATCATTTTACCGTACTCATGAAAAGAATATCCATGTAGCTGTACGGCAATAAAATGTCCTATTTGCATGTATTTTATGCAATAAATCTGCTTTGTGACAAAATGTATTCACTGTGTCTCCTTGGCATACATGATTCTGAAACAGACTGGGATTTTATTATAATAGAGTATGTTATTCTTACACAAAATACGAGATTAAAAACACCTTTTCTTATTAAATTCCCTGAGTGCAGGATGCCTGGAATAGGATACAGATACAATGCAGAATGTTATGCTGAAAATATAATCTGCACGTAAGGAAAGATCAGGGTCGGAGAACATAAAACATTTCATTTCTCTGTGACATAGAAAAGAACATCACCCAGAGGAGCTGTCATTGTCACTTCTTCAATTTTAGCAAAACTAAATTTTAGCTAACTGAACGTTATGCTAAGGTCGTGCTAATGTAAAAAAAAAAAAAAAAAAAATTATTTTTTTCTTTTATTTTCATTTGCAATCTTTGCCATGTTGTACAAACAACTCCATGCCCCCTAACTGTAAAGTCTTGAGGGGGCTGTCCCGCCATCCCGCCGTCCCACTTTAGTTCCCTGGTGTCCTACAACTTGGGACAACAGAAAACTGCTCCTGGACAGCACAGCGCAAAAGCATAATTTAACGCAGAAGCTGGCACTAGCTGGAGGCCGGTCAGGCTGCCTGTCAGGTAGTGGGCACACACCTTTTTTTGGGGCTAACCCACCCCCTTTTGGACTTGGCCGCTCATTTTCTGGGTGGTCCCACCCATTGTTGGTGTTGCAAGTGATGTGGTTTGCATCACTAGCGATGGCCCCTCAAGACTTTGCCCACCCATACTAATTTCAGGAGAAGCAATGCTGGGAGGTATAAACTCATGTCTGGAGAAAGTGACTAACGTACATGTGTGAGTACCGCATTTCTCCCTTAGACGTCATGTGCATGCGGCTAAGACATTATGAAACTATGAATTCACCTCAATGCAAAAGTGATGATGGAAGTAAAGTGTGCTCGATTGTTCCTCAAGTAAATGCTAGAAAAGTTTTTACTGGGGCAAAGTAATAAGGAACTGAACTAGGTAAAACAAATTGCTAACAAATAATTACTACTTTGAACTCTGATCTCCCCACCGGCCCTCCATGGAAAACAGTGGGGCCGCGCTCGGATAGCGCCGGCCCTGCATAGACCGGCAGGGGAGATCCTGGAACCTCCCCTGCCGGCCTCGGCCCATGGCCACCGCGGCCCACCGGGCATTTGCCCTCTGTGCCCAATGGCCAGTCCGGGCCTGGGTGACTGTATCAGCCACCATCCAAAATATATCATACAGTCACCGGCAGTCAATGGGTTTAATCCAATACTGTTTTCATGCCCATGGATCAAGCAATTTGTTTTCAGTCCCTTGCACAATGATAAAGTTAATGAGACTTGAGCACGGACTTATAGTAGGAATGTGTCTGACTACCAAATTCAGACCTAATTTACACAATCTAGACATTGTTGAATCCGATCAACAATGTCCAGATTTTGAAGCCCCGTATGATGGTTTTGCCCCATTCAGACTCTATATGTATAGTCCTGTCTATTTATGTTTCCTCTGTGGTGCGCCAGCCTGGTGACATGTGTGTTTTGTATTAGCAGGCAGTCATGCAAATTAGACTGGCACATGCGCAGAGTACTGCAGGAGAATTCTAATCGTGCAAGCCCTTTTTTATGGCATACTCTCACTGCACTTTTTGGAACTTTTTTTTTGTGTCCTCTAAAGTGACAACGAGAAAATAAAAACAAAACACAAGACAGTTTGACAGGTGTCCCACATTAAAAGTTTTGGAAGATATGTACATACCAAAAAATAAATAAAATAAAAATTACAACAGTGTATTGGATTAGCATGGTGTGTATGATGCTGAGATAACATGTAGCAAACACTAGATGGCAATATTCCTATATAAAATCACTTTTATTAAAGAATTAAAGAACGATTCACACATCAGGTATCAATCATTGCTGACAGGTTTTAGCATAAAACTCTTGTCAAAATGAAGCTGAAAACATGTCATGAAACTCTTACTTACATTTTCCCACTTAAATAAGTTAACAAAAATGATATGCGTGAGCTACAATTAAAGATGTGATAAATTCTCTGAAATTAAATTTATAAATAACATCTATAAAAAAAATATAAAAAAGATACAAAATGTTCAAATAAAGCACTACATAGGTGATTAAAAGATTTATGCAATTACATAAAAGTGGCACTGAGAACCCCCACCAACTCAGTCAAGAGAGATACTCAGACAAAGTAGGGAATACTCAGTATATTTCCTACACCTGACACTTCTAGACACTGAGTGGAACTACCAATGACTGCTGGGAATTAGCTTGCACAAGAGTACAGGAGTGACATCAGCTCCCAGCGCTGAAGTTCCAGGAGCTGAAGAGGACCCACTGCAAAAAGCTGTTGTCACCTGCAAAGGACAGGTTCAGGTAGTAGAACTGATCTTTCTTGGCCACCTGGCAGAGAAGTCACCATCGGGGGTCTTTTCAAGTTTCCCAGACAGTGACAGTGCAGCATTTAATTTAATTAATTAGCATGTATTTGCGGATCCTGTCCTTCAAATATTTACCTTCCACAGTGCCTCTGATTCTTTGTGTTTCTTGTTTATTGGTTTTGGCACCTTGAGGCTGCATTGCATTTCTCCTTACCAATGTTAGTCAACTTCTCTTTATTGTGGGAATTAAGCCACCTAGGGGTTAACCATTGGTTTGCTGGAGACACTGTTTCCAATAATCCCTCCATTAGCATTTAAAAATGGTGCTCAGTAATAGCCAAGAGTCTTGTCATTTGGGGAACTATGCAGTACCAGTACTATATCTTAAATCTTTGGGGACGGTGCCTTGTGAGGACAATGAGTTGACCCCAATTCACTGTTACCTGTAGATGCCATACTAAGGGTAATGACTTAGTGCTCCCCTTCCTTCTTCTGTGTCCTCTGTTAGTGTTGGTATTGCTGTAATTATTTGATACATTGGCCTAGAAATCAGGACAACATACAGGTCTGTCTTTACAGAGCCCAGGATCTGATGACCCCATGTAAAGCCAATGAGTGACATCAGAAATACGGTTTGAACAAACGGCATGTCTGAAGGTTCTATACTCAGAACAGGGCATTCAAAAAATACTGAAAGTCTTGATATGATTAGTTACTCAGTCTCCATCCATAAGGGGAGTATCAGGAGAAAACTGCAGAACTAATAAATAAAAAGTGGTAATTCACTACAAAATTAAAAACAATGTCATAGTATTCAAAAATAGAATTATCAATGATGTAGGAGCATATACGTATGACACACGATGTCGGTGCGTAGGAGCAGGGAGGGGAGTGAAGCTGTTTCGAAGCATGCCGAAGCATAGTGCACGGTCCACACCGAAGCACGGTCCACACCATTCAGATGATTACTGACGGAGGAGCCAAGAGTCTCACCTAACTTGATAGGTAGCATGGCACAGCAGTTGCGGATCAAGTGCTCTGAGAGTTCCGACCCACTCCTGATTGAGGACGGCGCGGAGGCTGAGAGGTGTGGCGGACCTGCACCAGGAGCCGCAAGCTTTGAGCTCTGAATGTATTGACATACGCCAAAGATATTGGTAGGTGCAAGCAGGATTTGTCTGTGAGTTCTTCCTGGTATGATACCACGCTGCTAATGCCTTGACATTTGAATACCAAGAACAGTACTCGTAGATGCCTTCGGGATAATTCCTCTAAGGTTTCATTGTTATAAGATTTAGGAGTGTATAGGTATTACCTGATAAAATGGAACTAAGTGCGATGAAGGAGGGATAAAGGAGGGAAGAGAAGAGGTAAAGGAACAAATTCTAGATCATAATGATATCATTGATTTCCTAGAGATTCATATCTCGCTCACTTAAATTCCTCAGTATCAATGATACCTTTGTGAAAGAGTCTCCAATATTGAAATTGGAGCTAGATTTTAAGAAAACGTTTGCGTTACACACTTGGAAACAGGGTATCAAACAGGTCAAAAAGGGTATACACTGTGTAAATCTGATTGAGACATACTACAAAGTATTATACATGGTGGTACATGGTTCCAACTAAATTGAATAAGATGTATATTGATCACTCTGACCAATGCTGGAGATGTAGCAAAGCAAAGGGATCCCATCTAAATATTTGGTGGGACTGGTTAGACATTATGAGAAACAACCTAAAAAGACTTATTTTTTAAAGAGATACTACTGTCTCCGCAGCTTTTTCTTCTTCACTTAGACCTTCCCAAAATGGATAAACCCTTATCTAATTTAATGATTTATATTATGCTGGCAGCAAAAATATGCATCGCCAGAAATTGGAAAAAGCAAGGGTATCAAAACTGGTACGAAATAACATCTCAAATAAATCACCTTGCTCTATGGAGAAAGGTTTTTACTTGATAAATAACCAACTGAATCCATATAAAAGAATATGGGAAAAATTGTTATCATTTTCTTTACTAATATGATTTAGAAACTTTAAATACAATCCTTTATTGGGAATTATATGTTTAATTGACTTTAAGGACAAATCTTGGTCCATCACCTTCCTACCCCACGCCAGAATGAATGATGTATGAAGAATGAATAAAGTTGGAATGACTGGTGATTAAATTAGAAAATTATTCTGATGTATTTTGATTGCTGCTAAAAATATATGTATTTATATTAATGTCAATCTTTGTTTCTGTACTCTATGTGCATAAGTTCTTAATAAAGATGAAATAATAAAAAAGAAAAAAAAAGTAAAATATTGGGAATATTTATGAGACAATGCTACATTTAATTGTCATGTATTTTTCTCGATTGTGGTATATTATTGCCATATTTTTGTTACATCAGTAATGAATAATATTTCTCGTGAATTGCTAAATATCTAAATTTACAATTCCTTAGAGACTTTTTAAAAATTTTTTTTACCAGGCATGCATACTGTAATGAACAGTATTTGTTGAGCCTCAGGACTCTCTTGTCACAAAATAATTCTCTTCAATTGCATAGCCAGTTAGATGACGGAGAAGACAATGAGAACAGTGAAATAATGATTTATTTCGGCCCATGCTGTGACTGATGCAGTGTTTTGTGTCTTTGATGTTTCCAATCTGATTGTTTTTTCTGTAGCAATTCTAAAACCCTGGAGCAACTATTTGTTTTAAAACAATTGTAATGAAAAATCTTAGATTCCTCAAATAACTTCGGCGTGCATTAAAAATAAATTCTGCTCCGCTCCATCCCGACATTGATAGCATGTTAACTCATTTCTGTTCCAGTACAGGTGTCTCGACTTCTTCAGGCTGAGTTGTATCATTCACGAACGTTTAGCAAACAATTGTGGAGATTACAATGCCAGGATATGCCGTACAGAGTCATAAACACAAAATTCTATTTTATTGTTTGTGTTCAAACTGTATTCTTTCCATAGTCCTGTTAATTCAGCACTCTGTAATAACCACTATGCATTTACAGTATAAACATGTTTTTTTAATTTGACACTTCAGGCTCCTAAAGTTCTTCTGCTTGCTGTAGTGCTTTAGGGGTTAACTGTGCAAAACCGTGGGATCCTCCATAGATAAAGCCAATTCCCAGCAGCCATCTCTGGTAACGGCTATGAGGATCGACACTTCTAGACTGCAGTAGCTCCGCCCAGTGTCTAGAAGTGTCAGGTGCAGGAAATAGACAGTGGCAAAATTGTCCCTAATTTGACTTAACATATCTCTTGACTGGGTTGGAATTTCAGTGAAACTCAATCACAGTTAAACACAGTCAATATGAGTATTTCATAAAGATTCTATTGTTAGGAAATACTCTTTTTATGGGGTGGGGGTGACAGTGGCACTTTACTATTAGCTAACGTGTTGTCTAGCTAAAACTTAAGGTAATATGCCATAATAATTATCTAGCTATTGATGATGTGTTTTATGTCATACAGACTATCCAAAGTAAGGAGAAATATTTTAAAGTACTGTAGATTCCAATAAGGTGAAGGCACTGGTTAGGAGAATTATTTCTTACATTTTTCCCTGTTTTTCTTAAAAAAGTGAATTGCTTGTTGAGCTGAGCAGCAAGATTTGTAAAGTTATGACTGTACAAGGTTAATGATTGACCCAAAAACAGACAGACGACTTGTGGGAATCTGTAGGAGTCATCCACCTGCAGATCTGAGCTAATGAGCTGGAATGTAGGGCATGGGAGCTCCTTCAGATAAATGGGTCTCTGATTGTGCGGAGTTTTGTATGTCAACAATCACATCTTAAAATAGAAATATCAGTGTGAGCCTGTACAGAGCATGGAAGACAGTGGCATTTGCCAGGCAGCCCATTTAAAGGTGTCCTGGAGATATTATATTGCTGCTATCACAAACTTGACTTAATCAAACCATTTACTAGTATGGGGACATCCATTGATGGGAAGCCACATTATTAATAGAAGATAAAACAAATACTTAGGAACTGTGTACACCTGGTGTGTCTCTCACTATAATATCACTGAGCATTGCACAGTTAGTGATTGCAAGTTGGTAGCAACCAGATAAAAGACTTTGTCTTAAAATAGTTCTCAAAATTAAATTATGACATTTTATTTGAGTGTTATACAATTTAGTCTATGCTATGTAACTCTGTTTTTCCCCTTTAAATGTATAATATGTATTGATGTTTTCTAGGTCCATAGAATGATAAAATAGCCCTTATAATAGAGAGATTGTTTAATTGATTCAGCTGATAACTTTAAAAAAGGTTTGGATATTTGTTATCAAAACATGCAGTTCGGGTAATATGCATGATATTTGCAGCATGAAAGCAAAACATCTGCTTATCAGGGTTGAAAAGGATTTCCCCTCTTTTTAGTATAACTAGGAATCATTTTTAAAACATGTATTCATAACACTAGAGTAATATACTATCTAATATATTAATAATATACTATTCATAACACTAGAGTAATATACAGTGGCGGAACTACTCTGACTACAGGGGTGGCAGGTACGACCAGGCCTGTCACTCCAGGGGGCTCGGCGGCCCTGTGGACCCCATGTAACGCGACCCTGGCATGCACAGTATAACCGCAGGGGTCCGCGCGCTCAGGGGCCCATTTGATGGCCCATGCTGTTAGGGCCACCCGATGGCAATGAATTTCCAGGGTGCCCAGTCGGTGCTACGGCGCTTTAACAGCATGACCGGGTCCCCTGTGATGATGTCAGATGCTGGGAGGAAATTAAAGCCCCACTGACTTCCTCTCAGCTATCGCGAAGACCTGCGCAGGAGGAGGAAGGAGGGTAGGGAGTCAGAGTGGGAACTCTGACTCCCATCAGCTGGAGCCAGCCACTGGACCCCAGGGAAGTCACCTTCCTGCACCTAAACGGTAGGGAACAAGAGGGTGACTAAAATATTTTGCACGTGTGTGTGTTTGTGTATGAATGTATGTGTGTGTGTGTGTATGTGTGTGTCTGTATGTATGTGTGTGTCTGTGTGCATCTCTGTATGTGTGTCTGCATGTGTATCTGTTTGTCTGCATGTGTGTCTTTATGTGTATCTGTATGTCTGTGTATCTGTATGTCAGTGTCTGCCCTTTGTATCTGTATGTGTGTCACTGTTTGTATCTGTATGAGTGTCATTCTGTGTATCTGAATATTTGTCATTAAGTGTCTGTGTATCTGCATGTGTGTCATTATGTCTGTATGTGTGTCTGTGTGTATATATGTGTCTCTGTATCTGTGTTTTAGTTTGTGTATCTATGTATTTGCATGTGTGCCAGTGTGTGTATCTGTGCGTCTGTGTATCAGCATGTGTGTCCGTGTATGTATCTGTATGTGTTATATGGTGTGTTTCTGCATGTCTGTCAGTGTATGTTTGTCTGTTTATCTGCATGTGTGTCTGTGTAACTGTCATCCCACCAAACACACTGTCACCCCCTTCACCCTGCCACACTCACAATAACTCCCCAAATCCTGTCACTCAACCATGTCATACTCACCTCCCATCCCTCTGCCATATTCACCCTTTCACACTCACCTTCTCTAGCACTGCCACACTCATTCTCATTCTCCATCACTCTGTCACACTTGCCCCCTTTCACACTATCACTTGAACCCCTCCAATTCTGTCATACTCATCCCCCCCCCCAACCATGCCACACTCACTCTGTGGGGCGTGAGTGAAACACATGGAGCGGCTGGGGGGGGTGAATGTGACAAATTGTGGGGCTGGGATGTCGAGGGACGATGTATGGGGGGCCAAAGGGCAATTCTCACTCCAGGGCCCCGTGGTTTCTAGTTATGCCTCTGATAACTATATAGATTCAGGGCAGCCCCCTAATTAATTTTTTTTTTAAAGTTGTAGCGGCACCCCGATAGAGTGAGGGGTTTTTGCTGCCAAGAGATGTCCTTTCTCCCCTGTTGTGAGAGGGAGTCTGTAGAGCAGAGCAGGAAAAGCTCTTAAAAAAGCTAGTGATTATAATACTCCAACAAGCAATCCCAAGAGCAGGGATTATAGCAGGTATAGCTTTTCCCTACAAGCACGAGACGAGGCTCTGTGTTGAGGGTAAATCAGGAACTGAAGGTTTAATGGAGGCACACTGGCCTTTTATACAAGTTTCCCAACAAGGTTGACACCCAAGTGGACCTTGTTGGGCACAGGACACAAAGCATGCCAACCAATAAAACCAATGTAATAATAAATGACACTCCCACATATAGTACACAATCCCTCCCCTCTGCCGGTGATACAATTAAGGCAGATAATGTACTAACTTAATTAACTCTAGGCAGAAAAAACATACATTTTTATAAAATAGCACAAGTACCCAAAAATACAACATATTCCCATAAATGTCATATCCCCTGATAGCCTTGATCTGGGTGAACAACATATAAAAAAATCACTCAGATCAGAGCAGGGGTTCAGGAATTTTGTGGAAGTCCCATTTTGACCAACTGGACACATGGCTTCATGCCCAAAACAGTTCCAGAGAATTAGGCTGTGCGGCCGGTATATTTCCAACTGTCGAAGTACCGTTCGACTTACTGAACGAAATAGTGAATGGACATAGTCAATGTGTGTCACTTATTTGTGGGCTTCCACTCACCGAACGCCGTTCGACTCCCGTTCGAATTGTCGAAGTTTCATGGAAGGTAACTTTTCAGCGGTGTTCGTGCCATTGCATGTCCAATTTGAGTTCTATGAACTCAATGACAAAACACAGCTGAACACGTTCGACCAAATAAGATGGACGCCGCCACGTGTTCGAATGTCGGCCACTTCGACACTTTGACTGTAGTCGAAGTGCCACTTCGAAAGTCCAAGAGTCAAAAATAGGGTCTCTCAACATTAAAGGGGGTATAGTCACAGGGCATTCATAGGTAAAATTAGGATTACTGCACAAACAGACGAAATAAGAAACAAAGTATAAAATCCAAGGACAGAGTGGTCTGTCACAAAAGCGCTGTACTTACCTTACGTACCCCGGTGCACCAGTCTCACTGCGACCGCCCTTCCCCCACTGGCTGAGATCATCAATACTGATGACCTCTGCTGGCCGATGCTTCCCTATAGAAAACCATTGAGAGGATAGTAAACATGCGCTACAATTTAAGCTCTGCTCCAATCAGCATCTCCTCACAGAAATGCATTGACTTAGTCGAGACGCTGAACATTGGACCTGCAATCTTTGCAAAAGGACAATCAGGAAGTCACTTTAGTGGCTGTCCAAGTGACAGACACTAAAGGTGATATTAGACAGCAATTTAAACACTGTCTTTTCATAGAAAAAGCAGCAATTACACTGTTCAGCCTGCAGGGAGAGGCTCTGACTTTGACACAGAACCACAACCTTAAGCTGTAGTGGTTGTGGTGACTAGAGTGTGCTTTTTTTGCAATTTCATTTTTTATTAAGCTCTAGAATGTAAGTTTATTGAGCTGGGCCCTCCACTTCTCTGTTCCTGTACGTCCAGTTGTCTGGTTACAATTACGTGTCTGTTAGTCCACCCATTGTACAGCGCTACGGAATCTGATGGTGCTATATAAATAATAAAATAATAATTAAGATAGTAGCAAATTACAGACGAGAATTATGTACAGTATCTAGCTGCATAAAAATATAACTTTTACATCTGGTGCACAGAGGGACATCTCATTTTGTTGAATAAAAGAGTTTGCACATGGTTAATAGCAGCATATAAATAGTACCAGCAGCCACGTTAGGAATGCTAGTTGCTAACCATTTAATGACTAGACTCAGCATTTGTATTACTGGGCAATAGTAGTCAACACGCAGAAAAAATAGAATAAAATAAAATAAAATAAAATAAAATACTAAATCCCAGTCCTCTCCATATACTAAATCCCAGTCCTCCCTCTATACTAAATCCCAGTCCCCCCATATACTAAATCCCAGTCCTCTCCCTATACTAAATCCCAGTCCTCCCCCTATACTAAATCCCAGTCCTCCCCCTATACTAAATCCCAGTCCTCCCCCTCTATACTAAATCCCAGTCCCCCCATATACTAAATCCCAGTCCCCCCTACTAAATCCCAGTCCCCCCTATACTAAATCCCAGTCCTCACCCTATACTAAATCCCAGTCCTCCCCCTATACTAAATCCCAGTCCTACCCGTATCCTAAATCCCAGCACCCCCTCCAGCCAACAAACAGACTTCACTTACATTGCCGCTGCCAGTATGCGACTCTGGAGTCCAGCCTCTGGTATTCCCCAAAAGGCACTGTCCGCACCCTGTGCCAAAGCAGATCCTCACGCTACTTCTTGAAACCCTGTGAAGGTGGAGCACGTCGACTTCACGTCGGAATGTGACGTGGCGTGCCTCCGTGCACCTCCAGGTACTCCACTGTCCAGCCGCGGCCATCAAAACACTGACCAACACACACTCAGTGACAGACACACACACTCACTGACAGACACACACTGACACTCACTGACAGAGACACACACACTGACAGAGACACACAGACACAAACATACTCTCTGACAAACTCACTGACAGACACACTCACTGACAGACACACACACATACAGACACACACACACACTCACTGACAGATACACTCACTGACATACACACTCACTGACAGACGCACACACTCACTGACAGACACACTCACTGACATACACAAACACTCACTGACAGACACACACACTCACTGGCAGACACACTCACTGACAGACACACACACTGACAGACAGACACAGACATACTCACTCACATCATTCCCTGGGGTCCAGTGGGATCTTCTATCTGGAGCTCAGTGTTCCTGCTCCTCACCTCTCCCTCGCGTGCAGTTTAGTGATGCTGGGTGCCAGAATATGACATCATATTCCGGCGCCCGGCATCACTACAGACTGCACGAGGGAGCAGTGAGGAGCAGGAACACTGAGCTCCCTCGCTGCCGCCCGTGTCCTGCTCCCTCTCCTCCGGCCAGGTAACTGATAGCAGAGAAGCCACCTGCAATGTGGGGCGAGCAGGTGCCTACTCTGCTTTTACACTAGGCATGTACTCGCATGCGGGCCGTGAGTCTGACATGCTTGACCTAGAAGATAATGAGGAAACTTTGTTGCTTGGTAAATGAGTTGCTTGGTAAACAGGAAGCACATTTGCAAGTTGCATAACTTGAATATTCAGCCTAGGCTGAAACTAGACCACTTTGAGTAGCCTACTCCAAATCTACTCAGACGAGCGCTGACCGCACCATCACCACCCCACGCCGTAAAAAGAGCATAGCTTGGTTGCCTGAATTCAGCATAGCGACACCCCAACACACCAATTCTCTAGAGTGTCCTTTTAATTCAATGACAGAAATACAGGTTGATGAAAGTTTGAACCCGAGAGGCTTGAGTCTCTCTTTCATCCTATATTACTATGTAGCTGTGTAACTATGTGCTATAATTTTTCCTATAATTCTATGTTCATTAAGTGGGCCTCATTAGCCATTTTTTTAATACTCTGAATTTAATCAAATATTTGGTATCACAGTGTAATGTATAGAACACAGAGTTTAGGGTTGGGTTTAGCGCCTTGTATAGAGATGGTTTTAAGAGGGCTTAAGTCAATATATTTGGGAAAGGCCATATAATTTTCCCACGGGCTGAAGTCCCTTGTCTTGTTGTCTCCTAGAATTGTTCCTGATTGTACCCAATGTAGACAGAGATTCTCCTTCATTCCATTTCAGTATAGGGTAAGTCACTTGCTTTGAATGATTAAAATATATATGTTTACCCTAAGCCCGCTCTTGTGAGGTTTATGCATCAGATAGAGTTGTAAAACATTTTTGTTACCATATTAAAATTCATAATCTACTATATTTTGAGAATCTAAGTCTCTACCAAAATATTCTGCTAATTAAAATATGTTTCCTGTAGCATCTCTTGAACTGTAATTCATCTGTATTAACAACAAAACAATTTTTTAAGGGATATTCTTTGCAATCTTCTTACAATGGCACTAGAGGGCAGAAGAACACAAACCTTAAAAAAATATACTGGATTATTTAACATTCTACATATACAACACACTCACCATATTCAGGCCAAACTTTATATATTTAGAGGATAAATTCTTCGCTTTTTCAAAATCTTCTTCTCTGTCTGGCTGAGTATGATTGTAGCTACAGTACACACTATGTAAATGGCTGTGAACTGAAATGAATACAGTGCCAGTTTATGTTTACAAGGCACTGATATCACATGCAGAAGGTTAACATTACAAGTTATTGGGGTCCTTTGAATAACTGAAAAGCCTAGAGATGGTCACTCACTCTCCATAATGATGTTCCATTTCTGTAGTTTGATGTCTTGGGTACAAAAATCACATATGTTTGAAAGAAAACCCCAAACACCATGACAAGTGCAGATCCCCAAAGCGGTTATGGTGCAACGAATGCCCTGAAAATACTTCTTACCTGTGGTCTGCCCTACTGTCAATGAATAGCTAGAAGCTCTCTGTATTTGCAGTGCAGGGCTTAGCTGATTGGCTGAGAGTGATCAGCTGACACTGTCAGAATAGGTCTTAGCTCAAGAGAGCTAACTGAATCTTCCTTTTCGTTGTCAGCATTGGAGAAAGCATTGGAGAGAAGCAACCACCGGTCCCCAAGTAAAGAGTCAAAACATTCTAAAACAGTTTGACTAGTTAAAATGGGGGGTACTCCTGGCACCATAACCACTACAGTAAGCTGTTGTGATCATGGTGCTTGGAGACTTTCTTTAAATAGTTACTTGAGTCTTATCTCCCATCACAATCTATGTTTCAATGTTTAGTGCACGGCAACACATTCAGATTTACTTCTTTACAGTGATCACAGTTCAGATCAACATAAATGTGTAATAGTGATTTAGAATTTTGAGTGTACATCCCACTTCATAGATCTCTCCTGTTGAATCTTAAATAGGGACCACGTGGATTGATGGTGTCCCACAACAAATACCTATACACTTTTATAGGGTAAAGTCACCAACCTATGCTAAACAGTCCGTTCTGTTTATACAGTGATTTCCATCCTAAACATGAAAATATTATATTGCACATTATGAACTCTGACAAAAGTTACAATCGTTTCACGTCTTTGTTTCTGAACATGACGCTTGAGATAGACTATAACTGTAATTAATTCCATGTTGAGCTTGCTTCATAGATAATTCATTAAGGCGGGTTTTTTCATAGAATTTACGTTGATCTCATAGAATTTTGTAAAATCCTGTGCAAGCCAGTCTCAGAATCTTTAGTCTTCCAATGACCATAGCAAGATACTGAACACGTTATTGTGAGTTCTGTGCTGAAATCAGCATTTGTTTTTGTTAAAGGACCACTATAGTGCCAGGAAAACATTCTCGTTTTCCTGGCACTATAGTGCCCTGATGGTGACCCCACCCTCAGGGTCCCCCTCCCGCCGGGCTCTGGGGAGAGGAAGGGGTTAAACTTACCTCTTTCTCCAGTGCCGGGTGGGGGACTCTCCTCCTCCTCGGCTGAATGCGCATGCGCGGCAGGAGCCACGTGCGCATTCAGCCAGTCCTTAGGAAAGCATTCACAATGCTTTCCTATGGACACTGGCATCTTCTAACTGTAAAAATCACAGAAGCCCGGAAGCCCTCTAGCGGCTGTCAATGAGACAGCCACTAGAGGCTGGATTAACCCTATAATAAACATAGCAGTTTCTCTGAAAAAAAGGGTTAATCCTAGCTGGACCTGGTACCCAGACCACTTCATTAAGCTGAAGTGGTCTGGGTGCCTATAGTGGTCCTTTAAAAAAAAAAAATGACAAACCTCCATAACTAAAATCCGATATTTACGACTCTACTTTGTAAGTTAAGCATCTTTCTTTTAATAGCCTTCTTTAAGAAAATCCTTAGTACTTATTAATTTGCTGTAGCAGTAAAAAACAGGTTTGAATTGTGTTCTCTCCGAGCAGCCTTAAATTAAACTCACAAGAACAGTTGTCATTGCTTTGCAGCGTGTGGGCATTGAATCTAAAAAAGATTTGGTACATAGGTCAGCATGCCTATAAATTTAACTGTGATTTTTCATTCCTGCAGCATAATTCTTTAGTAAACCACTGTCCTTAAAATACCTTGTTTTCTCTCTTGCGTTTTTGCTTTATTAGACTACATCAGTGGTTTCCAATTTCTAATGCCAGTATGATACACAAGCAACAATATGGCTCATTTACTTTCTTAATGTATCTTGATGTCTGTTGCTATGGTAACAGAGAATGTGAAACATATATTCTTTAGGCCTCTTGCCCTTTCCACTCCACTGAACTATTTTGTATCGTCCACTTTCTAGTCGACATGAAAAGGATCAATACGAGTGGTGATAATGGCAGCCAATGGTTTTATTTTTTATTTTGTTCTGCCATCTTGGGATACTAACAGAAATTTGATAAGAAATTTGTTTTGTGTGGGGCAAGGACCATTGTGGGAGCAGAGGTAAATGTAAATGGGGCTTGAAAAAACAGATTGAGTCTGTCTATTTATACACGTGAAGGGGTTAAGAAAGATGATGAGGCTCCTTTGATGAGGGAGACCTGAATAAAATTTTTACTGTATTTACAAAATGTGAGTTTTTTTATTAAGCTTTAGAAAACCACCAGAATCTGTGAAAAAAATGTAGCAGCACTTAAAGTACAAGTTTTAAATCTATTTTAATTTGTTCTGCCATCCTGGGAGACTAACAGAAATTTAATACGAAATTTGTTTTGCGTTGGGCAAGGACCAATGTGGGAACATAGCAAAATAAAAATGGGGCTTGAGTACTCAGATTGAGCCTGTCTATCTATGCTAACGAATGAGTTAAGATGATGAGGCTCATTTAAGGGAGACCTGAAAGACATTTTTACTGTATATACAAAATGGCAGTTTTTTATTAAGCTTTGGAAAACCACTGTAAAAATTTGTGAAAAATGTAACTGCACTTAAAGTTTTAAATCTTCTACACTTAATTCTCTAGCTGCTTGTCTTTTTCCCAACACAAATCAGTATGAGGTGAGGTCTCTTCCCTCATTGCTCTAGAGTGAAATTCAATGGAAACTTAGCACTAGTGTTTTAGTGATTTAGTGATTTTCTTTTACAGATTTAGCAATTTTGGGAACATTTTACAAATCTCCAAAAGCATTTCTTCAGGGCTTGACTTGGCAGGTGAGCTTACCCTTTTATGGCCAATGGAGTTAAACTAAAAACCTCCAGTTATTTAAATGTGCATAGTGGTGTGGGATAGTGCGCAAGCTGGTGCACTATAGTTGTTGCTGCTGCCTAGGAGTAGTGGGAGTTTGAGCACAGGACTTAATTTTGTATGTTTCTATTTGCTTTTTTATTACACAGATGTTACAATGCTCCTGCCGACCCCCTGTGTTCCCTATTAAGGGTTAATAAGTATGTACGGTTTTATAGAAAATACCCCTCTCTGTCTCATTAGAGATTTCAAAAAAGCAAGATGAATTGCTAGTGTGGGACTCACGTAAGAGATTTTGCCTTGACATGGCAGGTGAGCTTACACTTTAACGACCATTGGAGTAACACTAAAAAACCTCAAGTTATTTAAATATGCACAGGAATTTAGAATAGTGCGCAAGTAACTTTTTCTTTCGCTTTTAATGTATGTATTGGGGCTGATGTGTACTATAGTCATTGCTGCCTCCCAGGAGTTGTGGGAGTTTGAGTGCAGGGCTTAATTTTGTATGTTTGTTTTTCTACAGGGCTGCCTGACATCCTGACATGCATTCTTATCAGATTGTGTAAGTGCTACCAGTGATACAAATTGTGTTACTGTCACAGTCCCAAAGACTCCTGCTTCGTTACTGTCAATTCTGGCAGGTCGGTAGTTGGTTCTTTTCTTCGTGGAAGTGGGGGCAGGGTTGTTGTCAGTGTGTATTGTAATATAATTGTGACAAAATACCTCAAATAGTTTATAATATGTAAAGGAAAGAGATAGATGATACAAATATCTAAATGAACAGATGTTAGGACAATCTGGATAAATATTTATATGTATTTTGGTACAATTACAATACACGTTGCTATCTGTATTTTTGTTGTTGCCCTAAGCAACACATGCAAATTCGACATCATGCTAAGCCTACAATCGGTGATTATAACAGTATGTCACATAGCATGATTAAGTTTCATGACAGCTGACATGACACATGTGACTGCATGTGTTGTGACTCATTCACTGGTAAAGAACGTTAGCAGCTGTGATAAATTTAGCATCCTGGTGTAAAATATAACTGTAACACTTGAACACCTGCGATAAGGAGGGAAGAGAGGAATTCTCACAGTTCATGTTATATATATCTATTAGCGGATATCAAGCAAACCTAGCCACTGGCCACTAAACTGCTCTATGAGCCTTGTGATGACTAACAGTAATATTAGTTTTCATTTGAAACAATAACAGCTTGATTATGAAGCGCAAAACATTTGGGAGTGATTGGCTACCAGTGCAGGCAATATGGCATATTAATTACAGGACCCAAGATTGTGATCCAGAAGTTAGAAGTAATACATGGATGCTCTATTCAAATATAATTACCATTATTTTAATAGCACCAACGTGTTCAGCAGTACTGTACAGTAGGAAACAGACTAACATGTAATTCTAACAAATCACAAATAAAATATGGTCCTTCCCAAATGAGCTTACACTCCACAGCTTGTTTGGGCCTTGCCCTAAATCAGAAATTGTACAGAATCAATAAGAAAATTCCATTGCACTTCATTATATTTTCAGAACTAACAAGCAATAAAAATATTGACAATTGGAGAGAAAATAAAGTTATGGGGTGATGTAGGCTAAATGACCCAAGTTCAAACCTTTTTCACATATCTCTGATGATCACATGTTGATTCTAAAGGAGGCAAGAAAACTAAATTGAAGCAATTTCTAATATTGCCCAAATAATGGAAAATATTCTTCTAAAATGGTAAGCACCTCCCAAAATCAACATGTAATCAGGCACCTCTGAAAATCAATAAGCAATTATTTTAAAATTTGTATTAATCATGCTGTAAATAATCTCTACATTTTTACTTGCTTAAAAAGCTTCTAATCCCAGTAAAATCTACTTGTTGTAGACCTCCACGCTTACAATCTAGTGCCCTAAATTATTTTTAATTTCTCTTACCTGCAATTTAATTTGCCAGTTTGAAAAATAATCTACAGATCATCTCAATCACTTTCAATAATCTACTGCGAATTCAGGAACAGGCAAAAGCAAAGTACATTTGAGACATACACGTATCTGACATTTTGGGTATTAGATTAAAAATTAACACTTATAAATGAGATTCATATTCGGTTAATTGGTGGTTAGCAGTCAACTATAAAGTTAAAATTCCAATATTTGTGTTTTCCACCAACATAATTGAAGGGTGTATCAAAAAAAACAGAAAAATAATTTGTGTGTCATGTGGAACATTCTTAAAGGACCACTATAGGCACCCAGACCACTTCAGCTTAATGAAGTGGTCTGGGTGCCAGGTCCAGATAGGATTAACCCCCCCTTTTTTTTTTTATAAACACAGCAGTTTCAGAGAAACTCCTATGTTTACACTGAGGGTTAATCCAGCCTCTAAAGCCTCTAGTGGCTGTCTCATTGACAGCCGCTAGAGGCGTTTGCGTGCTTCTCACTGTGAAAATCACAGTGAGAAGATGCCAGCGTCCATAGGAAAGCATTATGAATGCCGCGCATGTGCATTCAGCCAATGACATCGCTAGGAAGAAGGAGAGGAGGAGGAAAGCTCCCCGCCCGGCGCTGGAGAAAGGTAAGTGTTTAACCCCTTCCTCTCCCCAGAGCTCGGCGGGAGGGGGACCCTGAGGATGGGGGCACCCTCAGGGCACTATAGTTTTCCTGGCACTATAGTGGTCCTTTAAAATAAAAGCAACACAATTCACACATGGAAACACTACACTGGTAAAAATTAAAATAGTTTGCAGGTTGAGACCTAGCAACAGGTGTAGACTTGCTAAATGACATAAATATATTGCCTTAAATCCAGAAATCCAAAAACTGTATGGAAATACTCCAGAAACCTGGCATTCATGGCTTGGTCACCACTTGAAAAATGCTTGTGACAAAAGTTAATGATCAAAGAAACACAGTGTCAGAAAAACTGACTCTGG